AGAAAACACAGTCACATTTATAATAATAATAATAAAAAAGATTTCCAGAACTGCTGTAAATTGACACTAGCTAAAATCAATTCACAACCTCTTGTTCCATTTCTCTGTGACATTTTCAAAAAACGGTGTGTAAATCAGGCATATTCCAGAATGCAACCTGATACTTTTGACCTTTGTTTACTGAAGTAAAAAAACAGACATATGATTTCTCTTTTTTAAAGCCAAATTGTTCTTGTCTAGTATTCACATTAATATTCACGGCTTCTGGAAATAAAATCTGAGTTTCACTTCTGGAAATCAAAGCTGTAGTTTGAAGGACTTAATATACCATTGTAGCATTGAATATTAGCTGTGATTGCCAATAATGCTCTCTACTTATTTAAGTCAAGATTAGGGTTAATAATTGGTTTAGTGGTTAAGACACCAGGCTAAAAATCAGGAGACTGTGAGTTCTAGTTGTGCCTTAGACATGAAAGCCAACTGGGTAACTTTGGGACAGTCACATTCTCTCAGCCCACGATGTCAGGCTTGGGTGAGAAGATGATCGGTAAATTCCTGTCACAATCAACGGATCAACATTTGGTTAATACAAACAAGTGGACCCTGTACTTGCAGGAAAATGCTAGGAAGAAAACATGTCTTAATGAAATTTGTTTTTATTAGAAGGACATACCAGTGAGCATAAGAGGATAAGATCAGGAATAAACCAAGGATACCAGTGCTAGCTGAAGGGAAAAGACAGCACTGAGGAGATTGGAAGTTGGATGAGCTGGTGGGATATGCTATGGTGGCACCTGATAAAAGCTGATATACTCAAGCTTTACCCTGTTTCCCAAATAAAATCACTCTGACATTCCTTTGGATTTTGTCTCATTCAAACTGAGAGTGTTTATTTATCATCTCGATACTTCAAAGCTTATTCCAAAATATCTTAGACACAATGAAGTGACTACTCCAGGTATTTCCAATTTGTCAACCTTTATTTATTTATTTATTTGACTGTTTCATTTGCCCAACTAACTAATTTGATCTTAGTAGTTGTATTAATTATTTGGATCAAAAATATTGTCTATCCTTTCTGTAAGTGGAAATTCCAGCACTGATCTTAAAACAGTACATTTGCCATTCAAATGGCTGGCCATCTAGTTGGTTATTAGTGTCATCTTAGTTCAATAAATCTTAATTAAATACACCACATTGTTGGTATTTTTAAAATCCTATTAATAATTTTACTATTGTCCATACATTGTGAGTCATTTTTGATGCCTTCAGTTTCATATTTGATAAAAATCCAATGCATATTTATTTATTTAATTTGTATACCGCCCTTCTCCCAGAGGGCTCAGGGCGGTGAACAGCCAAAATTAAAAAACATACAAATACAAAAGTTAAGGTAATTAAAAAAGGATTAGATCATTTGCTTCCCAATTTAAAACCCCCAAATCCATAAAATTTAAAATCCCAATTAAAAACCATTTAGGCTAGGCCGGCTTGGTGGAATAAAAACATGTTTAGGGCTTTACGGAAGGTATGGAGGTCCGGGATCAATCATATTCCAGGAGGCAGCTCGTTCCACAGGGCGGGTGCCCCCACAGAGAAGGCTCTCCCCCTGGGGGCTGCCAGCCGACATTGCCTGACCGACGGCACCGAGGAGGCCCTCTCTGTGAGAGCGTATTGGCCGGTGGGAGGTTATCGGTAGCAGCAGATGGTCTCGCAAATATCCTGGCCCTAAGCCATGGAGCGCTTTAAAGATGAGAACCAACACCTTAAAGCACACCCGGAAGACCACCGGGAGCCAATGCAGCTCGCGCATATACTGTAAAAATGACATAATATGTATTAGATGTAAGTTGACTATAACTAACTAGCAGAATAATTATCAGATAAATACATAACCCATTGTCTGTTTTATATGTATTAATGTCAATTTTTGCCCTCTTTCTCCAAGTTCAGGTGAAACTATAATTAAGACTTTTGACAAAAAATAATGACATAATATGCGAAATTCACAGCTTTCAATAGTTATTATAGCTTGATAGCCTGACAGCTTTATCCTGTTACAATATTGAGATTTTTCTCAGTAAATGTTAAAATGCATAATATGTTTATGAGAATGGGCTGGACTAGTAAACTGACTATTTCCTTTATGCGTGAAGTGGTCACTTGAGACCTCTCCAGGATCTATGGTGGTTTGGCTGAGATCACAGGAAAAATAACTTCTTTGCACCATGTTCAAAACAGCAAGTTCATGCTAAAGAATGACTATAAAAAGCAAACAATTCAGTTCCTTGAGGAGCGATCAATTGGTCACTGAATGAACAAGTTATGAACCACTACTTACAAGTCACAGAGGCTTTGGTGCTAAGCTAAAATTAAGCAAACCATAGTAAACCTGGCTAAATATGATGGGTATTGTTGGATGAATAAATTTCTGATGAAATTTGAGATGTTTTCACTATTTAGAGCAATCCTGTTCTCTCTATTAAGCCATACAATGGCAGGATACTTTCTCACACTGTCTGTCTTCTGTGCTGTGGGTTGCCAATCTGGATTGTTCTGATAGTCTATTTCCAGTTCAGAAACTGGGCAAAAATAAATAACAATCCTCTTTTGTTCTACCACTTTCCCCCCACGACTGTTTTCCAGATGTATTTGCCTAAGATTAAATAGTTAACCATGTATGAGAAAATATCAGGAAAACTGTCACTTATGAACACCCATAGTTAAGTATAAAAGAATGGAAAAGCACAGCTTTATTTATCTTTTTTTAAAACAGTAGATGAAGCAGATGTTTTATATTAAAGAGATGTAAACAGCATAAATTCAATCCTGTAATTCAGCAAGAACTTGTCTTGAAAAGTAGATAAGACTTCTTGACATTGTCTTCTGGAATGTCCCCAGGGTTTTGTGAGAACTTGATGGACTTGATGAGAAATTAAAAGAAAAAAAAAATCAGAGAAACGCAGCCAATTTTCTATCACTTTGCCTCCTAATTTAAGATTCTGGGAAATTGTTAACTAACTGGTTCCACAGGCTGAAGTTTGAAACCTCACTGCTTTGAATGACACAAAGCTTTTTATTGAGCATTAACAGAAAGAACAGTTGCGAAGTTACATGCCTGTTTTATGTCTTTAGATTTATTCTCAAACTTTATATCCATGACATTTGACACTCTATCACACACCCACACACACCCACCTTCATGCTTATTACGGGGCAGAAACAATTTGCTACCATAGGCCTGAGTGTGTTTAGCATTTTGAAATTGGGTTGTCCTTATTTTGAACCTTGCAAACAGGTTCAAGTCTTCCATGAAGTCTTAGGTGTATTTATTTTATGGGAGCAACTGAAATCCGCCCAAGACAGGAGATTAAAAGCATGTATTCGTAACCATCTCACGTATTCATACCCATGTTTATACATTTCATGTATTTCCAATCATGTTTATACTTTTTCTGTAATCTTATCATTGGCATCCTTCAGTCTCAAAAAACTATGGTATCGTGCTCTGGAAAGAGGTCCTAAAACAGCATCTAGTGTGACTAAAAAGGTCAATTCGAAAGTGGCAATCCCTTCCACACTGAGGGAAGATACATTCTGTCTCCTGCCCAGCCTCCAGATTTCGCTGGTTCCGGGATGACCTCTTTGCCTCAGCCTGCTGAACAAATGTCTCTTCGAATTGGAAAAGGTCATGCTGCATCTTTAGCCTCCAAGCTGAACGATCAAGTTTCCCAGTTGTTAATGTCCATTCCCAGGGGGTTTAAGTCCCTCTTGCAGATATCCTTATATCGCACCTGTGGTCTCCCTCTAAGGCACTTTCCCGGCACTAATTCTCCATACAGGAGGTCTTTCGGAATCCGACCATCAGCCATTCTCAACCATCAGCCATTGTCACGACATGCCCCAGCCAGTCGTAAGAATGGCTGGGGCATGCCCATATGTAATCTTACATGCCCATATGTAATTTTACCATATTTTTCGGTGTATAAGACGCACCTTTTTACCCCTAAAAAGGGGGTGAAAATCTGGGTGTGTCTTATACGCCGAATGTAGCCCTGCCCACCCGCCAGCCCCCACCCTTCAGCCATTTTCGGCCAGTTCCAGGCGGCAGGGATCTGGGTCGTGGCACAGCCTGAGGAACCACCCTCTCTCTTTGGGACAGTGGTGGGGGGGGAATCTGCCCAGCAGCTTTGGGGAACAAGGCGGGTGCCACGATTTGCGGATGGTCACCCCTCTGGCCGCGTTGACTTCACTCCCCAGCAATGTGACGAGCTGCCGCCACTGCCTAACCCTCTCTGTGCCCAGGAGCCAAGCCGAGCTGAATGAGAGCCCCTAAAGGGAAACGTTCCTCCTTTCCAGCCATCGCTGCCCGGATTCCAAAATGCAAACCTCGAGTAGTGCTTCAGGTGGCGGCCAGTTCCTCTGCAATGTGCAGCGGAGAACTGGGAAGTGCTTTGGCTTCGGGGAGGAGATTGTAGCACTGACGCCTAAAAGTGTTTTTCTGCACATTGCAGAGCCGCCCCCCCCCACTCCTCCTTCTCAGCAGACTCTTCTCTTTCCTCCTGGCCAGATCCCCCGCCTGAAACACGGTGCACTTTTTTTTGTCTCTGCACACACCCCATGTTTGGAATCGGGAAGGGGATCGCGGGTTCAGGCGGCAGACCCTGAAAATACGGTATATATGCTTGACAAAATAAAATAAAATAAAAAATAAATAAAAACACTGAACTCGTTTCAAACGACGATCCAGTCCTTGCTTTGACAAGTTTCTCCAAAGTCACATCTGGGAGGAGCAGAGATTTTGAGCCTGGATCGCCTCCTAGGAGGCGGGTCACAAACTCGGGCATCGCTGCCTCCGTCCTCTCCGCCTCCGAGCGCTCTGGACCTCCACCGACCACGCGGCTTCTCTCTCCCGAACTCCCTTCCTCCCCCCTCCCAACTCCCCCCCCCCCCCCCCCCACGCCCCGCGCGGGCTGAAACCGGCGGGAGAGAGGCTGAGATAATTCCGGGGGCGGAGCTTTCCTCGCGCCTCTCTGCCTGAGGCGAGACGGAGAAAAGTTGACGCCTGGGGTACCTCAGGTGAAGAGGTTCGTTCTGCTTGCGCGCTGGATAAGCCGGGTAAGGCCGAGAAGATGGCGGGGCAGTTAGGATGTTTGGGGGGGGGGAGCGGGGCTCCGTTTTGCTCGACAGCGGATCATATGGTTGAGGGGTTTGTGGGGGGGGGGGGGGGCGGACCAATATCAGTTCTGAGATTTTTCTTCAGCTCGAAAGAAGAGAGGGACTCGCGGCGGATAATTCGTCCCCGGTTTTTGGTTTTTTTTTTTTTCCTCCCCGAAAGGGAGTGACTCATCCCGTGGATGCCGGGCACTTCTCTCCTTCACTCGCCCGGGCCTGTCAGCGACCGACCGGCTGGAGCGACATGCCTTCACCTCCAGCTTTTCGCTTCCTCGCCAAAGGCGCCTTCGTCGCATTCCTGTGTGAAGCCTTGGGGGGGGGGGGGGGGGGGGGGGCTCACCAGGGCACATTTCCAGTTCCACCTCGGGCTCTTCGAAGGAGGATTCGATGCATCTAAACCGCATTTTAAAAAAGATGTAGAATGACTGTTTTACTCTTGCGTATTTCTTACCGGACACTGGCCGTTGATGCAATTTTCTCGACCCATTGATTTTCATGGTTAAAGTCCGCTGGGTGCAGCTTTGATCTGGCACGGGTGTAAATGGGGCTTGTTGATTTTGCTTTTACAGAGGACTTCCAGACGGTCAAAGTGTAACTTCTTGTGACATACCAAAAGTCACAGCCCGACAAATCCAGGGTAAATTCCTTTAATTGTTTCTCTCTGGTCAAAAAATGGGATGCGAGGTTCTGACTAATTCTACCTCATGATACAGAGTCCTCCTATTTGTAGAAAGAGAATCATTTACAGGTTTTATTTTTCCAATGTGACATGTGGCTTGTGGTTTTATTTATTCTTTAATTTCGAATTTGCAATCTGGAGTTATATAAAAATGTTGAAATGTTTGGCATGTTGTAAAGGAAAAATTATTTCTCATTTGCCTGGTAAAAATGGGATGAGAAAAAATAACTAACTGAAGATAGAAGAAACTATTCTTAACTGGGAATATTGAAAAACCAAGGATTGCATTGATAATGGATGGTTTTTAGAAATACAGTATTGCCAGTATGCTCTGTAGAAGTGAAACCCAATCTATTATTACAGTAGTCCTAGTAAAGCCAATAAATATTTTTATTTTTCAGGCAGTTGCCCAGGATAGAAATTCCATGTCTTCAGGCTGAGATTATGATAGTTTATTGACTGACATTTAATGTTTATTCCTATGTCAACAATTAAATACTTGACTGTAATCAAACATATTAGTAGATATAGTGTATCTCTACTTTCTGATCACTATTCTGATTTTCAATACAATGATGTTCAGGCAAGAACATCAGGATATTTTCTGTTAATTGTTGGTCTTGTTAATTAATTGTAAACTTGTTAACTCTTAATAACTGGTCATGTTGACCAATTAATGAATGACTGCATTTTTCAACAAGGTGAAAAATAACTACTACTACACTTGTGTTGGAAGCATTTACCAAGGCATTTCTGGGTTCTAAGGATTAGCTGGTGACATCACCATTGCCCAAAGGACACCTGAGGGGGCTCTTTTCATGTCCTTGTTATTTTTCTCCACCAAGGTGATACCTATTTATCTATTTACACTTGCATGCTTTTGAACCGCTAGGGTGGCTATTTCTGACAGATCCTCGCACTTTTGACTGGTCCTCACACTTATGACCATCCTCACATTTATGGCCGTGCAGCATTCTTAATAACCATGTCACTCATTTCACAACTGCTTCTCTTTCACCATGGTGATAAGATAGGGCAAAAAATGTAAAATGTGAGGACAGTCGTAAGTTCAAGGACTGGTCAAAAGTGCGAGGACCAGTCAAAAATAACTTTTTCAGCCCTCTGAGTAGTCCATGTGCACAAAAGGACTACCCAGAGGGCTGAAAAAAGTGATTTCTGACAGGTCCTCGCACTTTTAACCGGTCTTCACACTTATGACTGGTCATCATGTCCATTGTAGCATTCTTAACAACCGTGTACTTATTTCACAACTGCTTCTCTTCACCATGGTGACAAGGTGGGGCAAAAACGTAAAATGTGAGGACAGTCGTAAGTTCGAGGACTGGTCAAAAGTGTGAGGACCAGTCAAAAATAACTTTTTCAGCCCTCTGAGTAGTCCATATGCATAAAAGGATACAGCAATAGAGAGGGATGAAGGAAGGGAAGGGAAATTAGAGTAGGAGTGAGGGTAAGAGAGGAAGGAAGAGAGGAGGAGAAGGAGAAAGGAAGAGGAAGTAGGGAGGAGAAGAAGGGGGGGGGAGAGAAAGTAAGAAGGAAAGAAAAGAGAGAGGGGGTAGGTTGAGGAGAAAGATTGCTTACAGTAAAAAAGATGAAATGGAAGAAAGGCAACCCCACAGAAATATAAAGCTATTAAGATAAAGAATGAATTGTTAAACTTTAAAGAATAAAAGAGAACAAATATGAATAAATAGCAATAATTAGAAACACACAAACATACAATGTATTTTCTTTGAACAGAGTATTTGGTCGGTTCACAAATTTAACCAGTGTTTAGTCATTTCAATTAAATTTACAATTTCTATATTTTCTTTTTGCCATATTTATTCCTCATCTATTTTTTTAAAAAACCAATATTACCCTTCATCCTCATCTCTAATCTTAATCAAATTCAATTTTTCCCTTCAATTCTATAGTATACCCCTTCCCATTGTCATCTATTTTTATATCCATCCTCACATTGGTTAATTATGTAATTATGTAATACAGTTGTTTAATACAAATTCAACATTTTAATATAAATCTATTAGTTATATAACTATCTTTTTTGTATATCAATCAATATGAACATGAATATTCCAATTATTTCCATGCAATCCAATTTCTTACAAATCAATTAATTATATTTACCAATAATAATAAACCAAATAATTTCCTCCATATATTCCTCCAAACCACAACTTAACCATTTCTGCTTTCAACACAATATACAATTAATAGTATCTCAATTATTACAATTCCCTAGTTAAATAGAGCTTTTTTTCTTTTGTGTTTTAAAATCTTGAACCTCCACTTTTGCCCTAAATTTCCCATTGTTTGCAGTTTTGCACCTACTTTTTTTTTGGTGAGGAAAAAGAAAAAGAAATCTCTCTCTGCCTCATTTTGTCACGTTGCAGCAAAGACGCTGTTTCACTTTCAGTTTCGTTTTTCAGCATAGCTAGGGGGAAAAAAATCTGCTCCTCTCTTTGCAGCTAGCAACGGAGCCCTCCGCAAAACAGCTGAGAGCAAATCAGCTGAGATTCCGGAGGCTGATCAAATCAATTTATGGTAATTAACCTATACTGAAGCTGAAAGGGGCTGTTTTTTTCTATTTTTGCAGGCACCGGTCTTCTCATTTGTTTTCTTTTAACACTGATCAGCTGTAGGGCGGCCCTTTGAAGGCCTCCGGCAAGAATTTAAACGGTTTGTTTCCATCTAGCCATCAGCTGGGACTCAGGAGGCAGCAATAGATTGGGAGTGGGCGGGGTAAGGGACCGGCAACCGGCGATCCAACAGAGGCAGAGAGTGAGGGTGAGTGAAGGCGTGGGGGGGGGCGAGAGAGGGTTTTGGCAACCCTATGAAATGGCTGTTCGATCCCCAAAGGGGTCGCGACCCCCAGGTTGAGAACCGCTGTTATAGGGATATGGAGAAATAGAAGGAGGGGTATATAGAGGGGATGAAAAAAAATCTAAAACACAAACATGGAAAATAAATAGATACTGTACTCAAATGCAAGATCAAATACTATCATAGTAAAAGAGATTATGAATGGGAAAAAAATATTTAAAAATCTAAGTACCGGTAGGTAGTAATTATTTTTTAGTTTTATTGCATATAGGAAAACTTTGGACAAATGAAGCACTTCATAAAAAAGGGAATCAGCATAAACCTTCTGAAACAAATACAATTGGGCTATTTTCTGCACTTTGTCAGGGTTCCTAGTCTCTAGCTGAATTTTTAAAACATTTTGTTTTTAAATTATAGATGATTATAGATTGATCTTCATTTTCAATTTCATTACTATAATAATCTAAAATCTTCTCACTTCTGAACAATTTTCTCCAAAGGTATTAGATTTAAGTGCACTGTGTGATAATTCTTGGTTAAGTAATAACTTCAATCAGACCATAACTACTTACTGTATCTTTGTAGGGACCAACTGTCCTTTTCTGATAACAAGGGTAATTAAATTTTTCCATTATTACAACACTTTCGCTCTGATGCCTTCCCGGATTTTTTTTTTTTTTTATAATCCTTTTGTTTCAGCTAAGGAATTGGATTTCACCCACATTCTTTCACAGAGGAGTGTATTCCTGTTAACCTATGTCTATTCCATGTATCCTTTCTTAGATTCTCTATGGATTTTTTTTGGGGGGGGTAAAAATAAGTCACTGAATCTTTCTGTTTTATACCAACTCTGTATATTCTTTGACACACCAAAAATGTGGATTAAGAAGGAGCTATGTAGACCAATGAATCCAACACATTATTTACTGCTGGAATTTACATCAATGCATTCTTGCAGGAAACCAGCATCCTTTTTGTCTTTCTTGTTAATGTACCAGGGGTGGATTTTACTTACCTTTACTACTGGTTTGCAATGGGAGCACGCACACAGAAGTTTCTGTGCATGAGCAAATAGTCAATTATGACATCTAGGTGGGTGGGCGGAGCCGCCCGCCGCTTTTACTACCGGTTTAATATATAAATCTGGTAGTAAAATAGTATAATATTTCCAATATTTAGTGTTAGCATATTTAAATAAGTTCTTTCAACATTCTGGCACCATCTCTAGAATTCCAGATTATTTCTGTGTCTTCTTCCTTTGTTCTTTTCTTACTACTCATTAACTTTTTTTTACAGTTACTTATTTATTTTTTATTTTATTTTATTTTATTTTATTTTATTTATATGCTGCCCTTCTCCGGAGACTCAGGGCGGCTTACAATGCGTTAAGCAATAGCCTTCATACTTTTGTATATTTAAACAAAGTCAGCTTATTGCCCCCACAATCCGGGTCCTCATTTTACCTACCTTAGAAAGGATGGAAGGCTGAGTCAACCTTGAGCCTGGTGAGATTTGAACTTGCAGTAATTGCAGGCAGCTGATGTTAATAACAGTGCTTTAGTCTGCTGCGCTACCAGGGCTCTTACCTTTCAGTTTTTGTTTTTGTTTTACACATCTGTTTTTGTTTTCAGTTGTGCTTTTATTGACCCTCATTTTAGTATCTTCTACACATCTGGAGTGGCTTTTCTCATTAGCTTCTCCCATCTTACAATTCTGCTTATTACTACACTGAATTCATTAACACACTTTCTTAAATTACAAGATAAGCATTCAATCACACAATGCTTTAATTTTTATTTATATTGAAAATTCCAATGTTACATATTCACTTTCCCTAATCTTCTTGTGCCTTTTTCTGAAGAAAAAACTTGTTATCAAAAAAAGTCAGAAATTTCCTTAAAGGTCTATGTTCGACAGAATATATTTCCTAAGAGATGTTGGTTTAATAAAAAGTTTCATGACTATTTATTGAAAAAGAACTTAATGAATTGGTTTTTTTTTAATGAGAAATCTCCATGAAAATCTCCCAGATTCAGATTGCAAATATTGATAACGATGTAGTAGTATAGTTTACCTTGACTTTTGCAAATGGCTATTTATCTAGTTTGGCTACATTTTGTCCTCTTAGTCCTGTAAAGTATGTTAGGCTGTGATATGAAAAGTAGTTATTTTGTTTGAATTTTCCCATTATTGGGACACCTTCATTTAGCATAGATACAATCTTTAAAACCCTAAACACCCTAAGGCCAGCTAACCTGTAGTATTACTTTCTCTTGTGAATATGCAAATAAATCTATGATGCTCTTATTTTGTTGCATATCATGAATATGATGCAGTAGTTAATTGGAAGCAATACTTCTTCAAATATTAAATTGGAAAGTCTCATTTTTGCTAATTTTATGAATAGAAGTTGCAGAGAATTGAAGCTATGGATATAAAACAGATGGAACATGGAATGCAATATTGCATTGACTAAAATCTTCTTGGAATTCTGAAGGATTAGTTTTTTCTTCTGCTTCAAAACTACGGTAAACCTATTTTAGGATCTTCACCATAGACATTAGGTGCTTCCTATCTCAAAATGATGTTAAGCTGTGCCACCAAAATTCATTAGTACAGTTGTCTATGGAGGTTCCCAGTCATTCAGGTCAGTCATGGTTGCTCCAAAGGTGCTTTTTCAAAAGGCAACTGGACTTTGTTTTTCTTTGAAAATGTTTCACTATTCATCCAAGAAGCTTCTTCAGTTCATTAGTACAGTCAGCAGATTTGAGGGGCTGGGAAAAGCAGAAACAGGTTTTACATCCTTGGAATTTGTGCTTAACTAATTTCACTATTTTACATTTCAGATTAGTTTTAATTTTTTTTAATATTAAGTTGTGGACTCCAAAGAGATTTGTGTTTGGGTATATATACAAGCATTAAACCAATAGCATATAAAGTAATAGAATGTCTCTGCCCATATCATTTTTAAATGGTAAAGCAGTATGGCTAGGTTAACACACATTTAAATGTGTTTTCATTTCTTTAGGAGATGATTTCTGCACTGTGGCTTACTTCTTGGATTTATCTCATTCATTTTTCTTTCAGCTGTTGTAAGTATATTATATTTCTTTCTGTCTTATATCACAGTGAGTGTCACGTAATAACATTTGGGTTTTTCCCAACAGTTAACCAGTGTCCTGTTTGGTTTGTTTCATTTTCACTTGTACATGCACACCCACCATTCATGTCTCATAAAGTGTGGTTATTCTGGCAATATAGGAACAGAGATGTACAGTTGAAAATCACTGCATATGAGAGGAAGTTTAAAGCTCCATGTCTCACTTTGAGTTTCTTCTCTATTTAAAATAAGATGCAGGTTTGTTTTTCCTGAAATAATCCTTCTCACAATTCTGTAATATAAACTGAACATATTATTTAAACAAAAGTAGGAAAGACTAAGAAGATGATCTTATAATAATTAATTGTAAAAAGACATTTATTCTTTAAATACTTTGAATACATTTTTCTCATTTGAATAAGTATTCATTTTTGCTCTTGCTGGTATAATGGCCCATTTTTCATGCATGTATTTAATTTATATCCATTTCTCTCCAACAATTGCCATTTAAAGGGCCAAATAACAATAAATTAAAAACAAAAACATTTGAATCAGACAGATAACATCATGTGTGCAGGCATACACCTGCCGTATTTTTCAGAATATAAGATGCACCGGAGTATAAGACGCACCTTAATTTTTGGGGAGGAAAACAAGAAAAAAAAATTCTACTTCTGCTTAACAACATTTAAGTTGGTGCTGCTTTATGCCGCCCTCCTCCTCCTGCAAGCGAGAGGTGCCTCGGAGACTTGGCTGGGAAACAGGGCGTCGATTACTGAGAAATTCTTTTCAGGAAAACTTATCGGGGTGCTCCTGCGATCTGCCGGGACTACTCGCTTTCCCTGAAGAGACCCCACGCATGCTCTGGGAGGAGGGTCGGGGCACAGCCTGAGGAACAAGCCAATTCGGGATGGTTTGGGGGGGGGGAATCTGCCAGGTGGCTTCGGCGAACAAGGCGGGCCCCATGGTTCACAGCTGGCCCCCCCTCTGGCTGCCCAGCTCAGGGCAGACAACAGCCACGATGACTTCACTCCCCAGCAATGTGAGGAGCCGCCGCCACCACCTAAGCCTGGGAGTCCCTAAAGCAAAACATCCCTCCTTTCCAGCCACCACCACCTATTGGCCCAGTGCAATTCGCAGAGCCACGTTTCAGGCAGTGGCCGGTTCCCCTGCAATGTGCTTCTGAGAACCAGGGAGGAAAGCATTTTCAGTTGCCAGCGCCAGCTGCACGCCACGTTTTTGGATTCGGGAGGAAAGTGCTTTGCATAGCAGGGAATGGGAGTGGGGGGGTTGATCAGTCATTTGAAGGGGAGGGGGAAGATGCACAGTCATAACTTTGCATGCACCGTGGTCAGTGTTGGAGGAGGAGAGGTGGAGGAGCTGGGGGTGTTGATGCTCTGGCCCTCTTGCCCCCCCCCCATTCTCAGGCTGCCCCGGATAAGATCACCACCATCAAGCAGGTCTTGGAGGACGTAGCCGACTACTTCTACAAGAAATAAGGGGGAGGACCCAGGCTGACAGGTGGAGGGAGCGCCATCTTGGACGAGGCCGGCTTTTCTCCTCCCCAAGAGCCGCTCACCCCTTGACCGCTGTTTTAAGGAGGTTGCAGACAGCTTTGTAGTACTCGCTAAGCCGGCTCTTCAGCCTCCCAGGGTCCTTCCCCTTCTTCAGTGAAAGCCCTCTGCAAGGACTGCATGGTGGAGAGGTGCTGGATGCTGCGGCTGAAGAGCATGCCCCATTTTTGGATTGCAGGGGAACCGGCTGCCACCTGAAACATGGCTCTGAGAATTGCATCGGGCCCATGGGCGGCAGTTGCTGGAAAGGAAGGACATTTCACTTTAGGGGATCCCAGGCGTGGAGAGGGCTTAGGTGGTAGTGGTGGCTGCTCCTCACATTGCTGGGGAGTGAAGTGATCGTGGCCATTGTCTGCCCTGAGCTGCCTGCTAGGTGGCTGGGGGGCGGTAGCTGTGAACTGTGGGGCCTGCCTTGTTCGCCGAAGCTGCCGGGCAGATTCTTCCCCCCCCCCCAGACCATCCCGAATAGGCTCAATCCTCAGGCTGTGGCCTGACCCAGATCCCCGCTGCCTGGAACCACCCGAAAATGCGACGTGCGGAGGCCGAAAATGTCCGAAGGGTGGGGGCTGGCTGGTGGGCGGGGCTACATTCGGACTATAAGACGCACCCAGATTTTCACCCTCTTTTTTTGGGAAAAAGGTGCATCTTATAGTCCAAAAAATATGGAAATTAAAAATGTTTTGCCTATGGATAAGATGAAAGGGCTAGTTTTATCTTCATCTTCTTCCTTCTTTGGCAGGGAATTCTGACTGACAGAATCAGATATGCTGATGATTGTCTGAAGATGATGGGGCTGAAATAATGGCCTGCTCTTAAATTTCCATAGTTGTTATGCCATGATAACATAGATTTTGAAATGGTCATTGGCTGTATAATTAAGGAGTTGATGGGGATCTTAGAAGTCATCCACTCACAGTAGGATCCATTAGTATGTTCTCTCCTTCAATGAAGGAGAACTTACCACTTTAATTACCACCATCTTTTCTGTAAACTATATATAATCAGTTCCCATTCTATTTTTTCTGTCAATTATATGCTATGTTCTTCCAGTTGCTTCATACTTGAAAATTAGGGAGCTCTTTTGGCTGTGATTAAAGGAAAACCCCAAATGCCATCCAGGAAACATTTCAAAAAATTGGACGAAAGTTAATCAACGTTTTTCTCCTCCACAGTCCTGCATCCCAGTAAATATAAATGTCACCAAGTAGTGATTTGTGGCAACTAAACTATAAACTGTGCCTCCCTATTCAGATTGATATAATCTCTTCACTTTGACTTGGTCAATGATTGAAGACAGAGAGTAATTTGAACTGATTCAAGGTTACTGTGGTAACCATGAAATACTGCCAATGAAGTAGCCAGTATGGGTGTGCAAAAGGGAATGTCAGTATCATTTAAGATACCTTCCTAATTATTCAGAAATTGAATTTACTGGGCAGAGGGACAGGTAATACATCAAACAAAGCTTGTAGGTTGTCCTGATGTTTATTATCTCAATTGGAATGCTATAAGATAGGTTGCCTACTCTAGAGAATAAGATCATCACAGGCCACTCCTAATTTCTTCTCACTGCCTACATAATCTGTTTTTTCCTGCTGCTTCATGGAAAATGAAGGTAGGAAAAAGGTTTCTGTCTATGGTGATTCTTAGTCATCCAGTTCATGGTTGTCCCAAAGTTGCTTTTTCAAGAGGCAACTGGATTTCTGTTTTTTTCTTTGAAGATGTTTCACTTCTCATCCAAGAGGCTTCTTCAGTTCTGACTGGATGGTGGGGAATAGAAGCATTTATACCTTGCAGACAGCTGGTCATTTGCATTCTTTTTAGAGAGTCGTTGAGGTCATCTGGAGGTTTATCTGTGTCATCAGGGACACCTGAATAGTGCAAATGGTTGTGGAGCCTTCTTGGAACTGTTGAAAGGACTGTGTTGTAGACTGGAGATAGATGATGTCATATCACTCCCCCTCTGTTGAGAGAAGGCTGTTCAATTTTGACCTAGATGGGCTCGTTGACCACTCTTTCAAACCAATGATTCTCTCTGTCCAAAATGTGGACTTTACTGTCTTCAAAAGAATGGCTTTTGTTTTTTAAAGGCAGATGCACTGCTGAATCTTGTTCTGATGGGTTTGTTCCCCTATGTCAGTGATGGCTAACCTTTTTGCCATCGCGTGCCAGGAAAGGGGGGGCGGGGGAGGGTCACGCGCGCACGTGCCCACGCGCATGTGTGCGCAACCCCCTCCCCCCCCGCTCCTGGCACATGATGGCCTGGTAGGCCCGTTTTTCTTTCTTACCTGGTTCCAGATCCTCTCTGTGTATCTGGGAACGGCGAAAACAGCCTTTCCCACTCCCTTGGAGGCCCTACGGAGGCTGAAAAAGCCCATTTCCCAACTCCCGGTGGGACAGGAAGTGACATTTTTTACTGTCCCCAGCCTCCAGAACCTCTCTAGGATCCTCTCTAGGAGTCTGTAGGAGCCTCTCTAGGAGTCTCTGGAGGCTGGGGACAGGAAAAAACGTCACTTCTTGTCCCACCAGGAGTGGGGAAATGGGCCCTTTGAGCCTCCATAGGGCCTCCAAGGAAGTGGGAAAGGCTGTTTTCGCCGTTCCCAGATACACAGAGAGAATCTGGAGCCAGGTAAGAAAAAAAAACCGGCTTTCCCCACCCCCCACAGGCCCTCCAGAGGCAGGAAACAGCCTGTTTCCCTACTTCTGGTGGGCCCAGAAGGCCCGAAAATCAGCTGGCCGGCACACGCATGCGCCCCAGAGCTGAGCTGGCGTGCCCACTAATATGGCTCCGCGTGCCACCTGTGGCACGCGTGCCATAGGTTCGCCATCACGGCCCTATGTTGTGCTATGCATTTATGAAGTGGTTGTTTTGTTTCCCCAATGTACAGACCTGCACATGGCTCACTGCATTGCATTGCATATACCATGTTGCTCAGTTGGTGTCTGGGTGTTTTATCCTTGGGGCGGGCAATCTTCTGCCTTAGTGTATTCTTGGGTTTGAAGTGTGCATGTATGCTGTGTTGGTTGAAGATCCTCCTGAGCTTTTCCGATATTCCTGCAATGCATGGAATGGCAACGTTACTTTGTTTATTGTTCACTTTGTTGTCTGTTATGGAGGAGCTCCAGTAGGGTCTTTTTAAAGATTTGATAAACGCCCACTTGGGATAGCCACGTGTTCTGAAGGCTTTCTTGATGTGTTTTAGGTCTTCTCCTTTCCTATCTTTGCTGGTAGACAGGCCTTCAGCTCAGTGGTCTTGGGCTCTGATGACTCCCATTTAGTGCTCCAGTGGGCGGTGACAATCAAAATGTAAATATTGATTTGTGTGTGAGGTTTTCTGTACACTTCGGTGTTAAGGCTTCTGTCTTCCTTAATGTGTACTATACAGTCCAGGAAGACTAGACTATTCTCCTTAATATAAGAAACATAGGAAAACAGTTATATATAGTGTCAGCGTTCCAGAAAACCCCCACTCCGAGTAAAGACATGGAAGCAAGCATTTTCCAAAGTTCTCTTTACTAGAATAGGTTAACTGGCACATCTGGGAAAACCTGAATCTGAAAGGTCCGGGTTTTCCCTCAGTAAATCAAAACCCCCCAAACCATCCCCTCACTCCTCAGTCGATCACATGCTCCAATCAATGTCCATCCCATCTCCACTCAGCTCTCTGACCACTCCTTCTCCTGATGCCGGATCGCCCTGACCTTGATCGACAGAAAGAATGTATTATGTCTACAAACAACCCCTTTACTAAATCCCCCTTCCTACTTTCCCACACATGAGAAGGTGGCAGCATGGAAGCTTCCGGCCTAATATGGCTTCCAACACTGACATATAGTCTTCCTTCTAATAAAATACAGATTCAAATCAACGTGCTTATCTGAAATCAAGTCCTACATAGTTGTTTTCTCATTCTCACCTAGCACCTATCACTATTCCAGGACAATTGTTATCCAGATTTCTCAAATTTTCTTGCTCTTCTATGAATGCTGTACTGTAGTCATATTCTGGGCAAATCTTCCACTATATCCTCAATTTCAATAATTCATTAAGGGGATGTTTTTCATGCTTTGAATACAGCTGTATTAAAAACCTAGAACACAAGTTGTGACCACTTCTCCTACTGACTAGTTTGGTACATGATAAATATGATTGTCCATATTTGAGCTTTTCAATTTTATTAATATGATTTTATCCATTCTGCAATATATTTTATGGCATTATTATAAATTATTTCCCATCCTAATATGTATTATATATTATATCATATTATATCCAGTGCTAACTAATCTTTGCAGGACCCTTCTACTTCATGTTTGAAGCTTACGAGGAGACAATCTCAATGTTCTGAATTTGAACAAGATGTTTGCTCTAAATTCTAGTATTAGACAAATTAATACTATGAGAAAATAAGCCTAAATATTCATAGTATCATACATTATAGAAATATTTGAAATTATGCAAGAAACAGCAGAAGAGAATGTTGCATAGTAATTCAATTATTGTTCTTTTAAGAAGTGTTACTTGTTTAATTGTGTAGTTTAATTTTATTTTGGCAAACAAATTATTCCCTTTGTAACAAGATGAATAACCCAAATCTGGAATATTCAAGAAATATTTGCCATAATTGTAGATCTGCTTATACATTTCAAATAGATAGATAATCTATTTATATGGCAATTATACTATTATAGTGACTATTATACAAATAGTAATGTATATTTATAGTTGTACAAATAGTAATGTATATTTATTTATTTGTTAGGTGACGAGGAAATTGTTAGTTTTTTCCCGAAAGGAGAACCAGGAACTGTCTCTTGTCTATCAGGTAGCCAATCTAACCATGTTGTGACTTGGTATAGAAATGATATTGAGATGCCTACAGCTACAGATAACTTCTCCCGGATTTATCAGCAAGCAAACTTGCTTTGGTTTTATCCTGCACAACTAGAAGATTCTGGAATGTATCAGTGCATTTAGTAAGTCAGTTTATTGATTCATTATTTATTATTTGCATTTGCAGGTAGTCCCAACTTACAATAATTCATTTAGTGACCATTCAAAGTTACAATGGGACTGAAAAAAGTGACTGACTATATTTCACACTTTTGACCATTGCAGCATGTCCATAATCATAGGTTCCAACTTTGATTGCTTGGCAACTGGCATGTATTTATGATGGTTGCAGTTTCTCTGGGTAGTGTGTTACCTTTGTGATCTTCTGACAAGCAAAGTCAATGGGGAAACTAGATTCAATAACTGTTACTAACTTAACAACTGCAGTGATTTGTTTAACAAGAAAGGTCATAAAATGGAAACATTGGGCTCAATTGTGGTTGTAAGTCAAGGACTACATGTATATCTCACATTTTCTGTGGGTGATCAAAGATGTACACCATAAGAACAATTCTAAACCAGAGAGTGATCCAAGTGAGAAACCGTGACTTCCCTTAAAATTTCCCATGAACTCCACCGACAAGCAGGGACATAACTTGATCGCACTCCAACAGTATAATTACAGTAGTACTTTACATTGCTTATAGCATTTGAAAAATGGAAAGAATAATGTAATTGAACACAATTCAATATTGAGAAGAAAATATAAAATTAATACTTTAACCATGTTTATTGGTACTAATTTTTAGCTTTAATTGTATACATTTTGAGTTCAAACAATGCTTAGTAGAAGATTAAAATGACCATGCTTCTACAATAGTTTACATGCTTAAACGAGAGTAAACACTTCTGAATGATTAGAGTCTTATTTCTAGCTAAATTTTTAGAACAATAGAACTTTATTGGTTCTATTTATTATTCATTTGTTTATATATTTTTCCTGAAAAACATATATTCCTGAAACTAACAAATTAAATATAAGAAATTAAATTGGTATAAAAAGTTGTTAACCTATGCTCTAATGAATCTTGGTCTAAGATCTGTTCATATTTTTAGAAGTATATCCAACTCTTAATTGATGTTATTGTTTTTTCCCCTAAATATTAAATGATAATCAGATGCCAATCACTCTCTTTGTGGATGTATATATTATATAATAACTGAAGTACTGATACCATTTTTATTACAGTAATTCCAGAAGAGTTAACAAAACCATAATAGTGTTTGAGAACAGCGTTGGATTGTGTTTTAATAAAGGAATGGTTTTTAAACAGGAAGTTCCATTAGAATACAGTGGGAGGCTGACTTGTCCAGATCTTCAAAATTTCAGAAATGATGAAAATGCTCCTTTAGCTTTACAATGGTATAAGGTAAGTCCTTTTCCATAAAGACAGAAGCAAAATAGCAATTAAGCAGTTTATCTTTTACATTTTTGCACATCACTATCCTGCCATGTTCTACAACCTTTGGACCAGCTGTTTACTTGAATTTCCTCTTATTCCATGCATAACCAAATAACCTTTTTTGTTAACTATGGGACTGTAAAGAGCTCTTCAAAAGTAAACACGTTTTTCCTTTTCTTTTTATATTTTTAACTCACTTTTAACCCATTTTAATCCATATCTAACTTTTTACAAAAACACATATAGTGAGACTACCAACTTGTTTTACCTACATTTTAACAATACTACAAGGCAGGATTTTTAAGAATGGGGAAAAGGAGAAAGAGACAGCACTCTGCAGCATAAAGTTCATCCAAGCCATTGAAGCAGCAGAAAATGGAAGATTATACTGCAAACAGACAGTCTCTTCCAGCAAGTAACTCATCTGCAGTCTCCTTATCAGATAAATTTAATTTATGTGACCATTGGAATGGGACTTACAAACTGAACTTGAAAGCAAACAGCATATAGAACGTTCTTCCTCTCTTGCAGAAAATGGCTCCCTTCCTTGGGAGGGAGACACCATTAAATATGTTGTTACTCCTGTCAGCTATTTTAGCCAATAGGAGTCAGCAAACCACCAGAAAGCATTTTCAGTCACATGGTGCCATGTGCTTCCATCAGTTGTCCTGTACGGCAAGTATAAAAAGATACCATTGGCTGAAAGATTCTGGTCCTGTGGCTCAGGGGAGGTGGAGACTGTGGTTCACATACTCCTTCAATCTTCCTTTTATACAGAGATTCGGAAAAAACATATTCTGCCAATACCTGCTAGGTATCCTGGCTGTTCTGACACTGCTTCTCTCCAGTGGCTGCTTAAGGATGAATAGTCCATAAGTACAGCACAGGTGGCTAGATTCTGAGCAGCAGCACTCAGGATTCGTCGGAAACACGTGTCTAATCCACCATAGATATGTTATATAACAAATGTGGCAAACCCTTTGCACTGCTTACTCCTTTCCCTTTTAGGATTAAACTGATAACAGGCCACACAGTTTATGGATTGTAATTTTAGTATAGTTAGACCAGGTAAATCCAAGATGGCGCCGCCAAAGGCTGCCTCGGTGAAATGCTCTCTAATGGTTTCTTTATTTTTAATTATTCTCTGTTAAACTGTTTCAACTCCTACCCTCAAAACGACGCTATAGAGCATTGCACCAGAACAACTAGACACAGGAACAGCTTTTTCCCGAATGCCATCACTCAGCTAAACAAATAATTCCCTCAACACTGTCAAACTATTTGCTAAGTCTGCACTACTATTAATCTTCTCATCATTCCCACCACCCAACTCCTTCCACTTATGACTGTATGACTGTAATTTTGTTGCTTGTATCCTTACGATTTATATTGATATTGTTTCCTGATTGCTTATTTGTATCCTATGACTACCATTAAGTGTTGTCCCTTATGATTCTTGATGAACATATCTTTTATGTACGCTGAGAGCATATGCATCAAGACAAATTCCTTGTGTGTCCAATAACACTTGGCCAATAAAAAAAAAATTCTATTCTATTCTATTCTATTCTATTCTATTCTATTCTATTCTATTCTATTCTATTCTATTCTATTCTTGACAAAATGAATTTTATCAGATTTTAGTTGTTATTTGTTATTTTATACTAAAATTTTTAATTGTATATTTACTAAGTGTTTTTATTTGTTGTGGTCTCTGATCAATAATAAACTAATGACTAATAAACTGAACTGAATTGAATTGAATTAACTATGGTGCTCACTGCAAGCTTCAGGTCATTCTGAGTTTTAGCTTTCCAAACTCATTCTTACATACACTGATTATTCTATGATTTTTTTTCTTTTACTATAAGGCTCTCTTTAAGTTTTTATAAAAACTTTCCCCTTTTGCTTCTCAGTTCATTAGATAGTTCTTTTTTTCATGTATATATTTATTATGTTTTATCAATGGGATTATAATACAAAACAGAAAAAAAAAAGTATACATCCAACAGTAACAATAAAAATCAAAATCAAAAATGTATACAAAAATGGGTCTGTAAATAGCTATAAAATTTTTCAACCTTATTTAACAAGAAAAATATATAAACAAATATTTCAGATGAGGAAGTCTCTATCTAACAGTTCATTGTTTTCAAAGGGTGCCTCTCCTTTTTCTTCTCTGAGATTGTGTGTGTTTGGATGCTTGTTTATTGCCTCATATTTCAGAATTTTTCAACTCAGGATATTTTTTTTTTACAATTTTTACAATTCAGGATTTCTGTCCATAGGATCTTTACAATGCTTTTCCTCAGCCTATTGGAATAAGTTCTTTTGCACTTAGAACCCTAATCTGATTGTCTTCATTTTGCTCTGCTTATGGTATGATAATATAGTAGGTAAATTCCAAGATGACATGGACATTCTCTCAGAAGGTCCCTGCAACTTCCACATCCAAAATATTTTCCCCCATGAGTATTAAGTCCACTGTATTGATTACCTTCTCCACCTTTTATATGATGAAGCTGTCAAGAATCATGTCAAGAATCTGTTGGCCCTCCTGTGGCCTTTTATCATACTGACACTTCATCTTTGATGTATTTTTCAGGCAAAATTGTATTGATTGCAGTTCCAAACTTTGTTTCTGTTATAAAATGAGAATCTTTAATATTGTTTAAGAGCCAGATTGTTTCTTGCTTGGCTTCATTTAATAGTTTTTGAGAGGAGTTCCAACATGAAGCTCAAATATGCTTTCAAGTCTTTGCAGTGCTGATATAAAGACATTGGTTTTTTTTTCTTTTTCTTCTTTGACCAAGATTACAAATGTTTAATTTTCTTTAGTTTTCTCTTCTTTCCCTGTATCCTTCTTATTCTTCCATATGTTATCAATCTTTCCATAATTAGTTGGTGTATTTAGTTGGGAAGTAATAGGAAGTAATAGGAAGAGGTTATATTCACCACCTTGAGTTATTTGTAAAAATAAAGGTGGGATATAAATAAATATATTTAAATCTGTTTTATTGTGGGCTCCTTGGTGCTCTCTGAGCTTAGCTGTTTTCTTTGAGACATTTCATTACACAATGAGGTAACATCACCAGTGGTTTAGTTTTAATGTTTTAGCTGCTGCTATTCCTTTGGAATATTTTTATTGCCTTTTGGAACAAATATTTTATCCATTCAACTTCATTTTAAGCTATGAGTTATTTTGGTTAACATCATCTCACTGCCTACCTTTCTCAGCTATTGTCTCTCCAGTTTTCAAATTAATAGGTGTATACCAAAAGCTGGGCTTAACTATTCTCCATGCTACAATCAAGCTCTGAGAACAGGGTGGTATAAATTGTAAATATAAATTGTTTCCAACTTTATCTCAAATATGCTACCTGTTACATTCCTTTGTTTCCATCATAATAGAATATAGAACATAAAATCATAGGGCTGGAAAATACCTCAGAGGTTTTCTAGTCCAGTCCCCTGTCCAAGGCAGGAACCTTATACCACCCCAGTCAAAATGGCTGTCCAGTCTATTTTTGAAAACCTACAGTGATGAAACCGCTACAGCTCTAGGAAACAGGCTGCTCTATTGATTAATTGTTGTCACCGTCAGAAAATTTCTTCTTACTTCTAAATCTTTATAGTTCCCTACAATTACTTTTCTCTAACTGATATTGTTACATTAAATATTTATAAAATTATTATTAGTCTTGGTACACAGCATTTGACACTGGCATCTGTACTACACTGCCATTATAGCCATTAATTACAGTAACATTTGAGGTGTAGCATGTGATTATGATTATTTATCATTTTAGAATAGAATAACAGTTGGAATGGACCTCGGAGGTCTTTTGTCCAACCCTCTGCCCAGGCAGGAAACCCTACCCACCACTTCAGACAAATGGTTATCCAACATCTTCTTAAAAATTTCCAGTGTTGGGGCATTCACAACTTCTGGAGGCAAGTTGTTCCACTGATTAATTGTTCTAACTGACAGGAAATTTCTCCTTAGTTCTAAGTTGCTTCTTTCCTTGATTAGTTTCCACCCATTGCTTCTTGTCCTGCGCTCAGGTGTTTTGGAAAATAGCTTGACTCCCTCTTCTTTGTGGCGGCTCACAAAGAAGATGGAGTCAAGATATTCTCTAAAGTACTGAGGGCAATTTAATGTTCACCAGAGTTGGTTCTAGATGAGAAGCAACTCATTAACTCAAATTAAATTAAATCAGATCAATCCAATCAATAAATGTGATTATCCTGAGAAATATAAAGAATCTTTTGTTTCCTAATTTACACTTATGAACTTTTTGTTATTTGCAGTTTACTAGTCCTGTTGATAAATTGTCTTTAGCTTGCAGATCTGGAATGGACTGATTTAATTTTTCTTTTTTGGTTATACAGTATGTGTTTGATAAAAGAGTTTAGCTTGGTATTAACTATTCTTATAATATTTGCTTATTTTTGTTTCAGGAATGCCATTTGCATTTATATGAAGATTGGAAATTTATCAGTTCTGGAGAATATCTTCTCATTAATAATATAACTAAGGAAGATGAAGGAATTTATATATGCAGAGCTAAACATATGTATCGGGGAAAAGAATATAATATTTCACGGGCCATCAATCTAATTACTTTTGGTATGTAATTTTCATCTTGTAGTTATTTGTATATCACAGAATTTATTTTATAAAATAAAATTGAATTTTTTTTAAATCTATGGAACCTGCAACCTAAATTTGCAATATAGCCTTGTTACATTATTCCCGCTGTCTGAGATACTATATACTACATATACTACATATTTGGTTGAAGTTCTTCTGACCATATTATAATGTCTATATTTTAGTAGAACAAAATTGTCAGTACTACCAGTTATCATGTAAATGATTAGATTTACATTAACAGAATTTAACTATGTTCAGAACAAAGTACATGCTTTCATTTTCAAGATATCATTGCTTTAATAATAGAATTGTATCACAAACCTACTTTTCCGATTATATAACTATGAGGTATTGGCACAACCTTTTAGTAAGTGAAAGCTCTAACTGTGGTAATAAAATTCATTTGTAAAAATTAAAGTAGCATTGCAATAGATTTTATACTTACTTATTTTCAGTATTATTTTTACTGTTTTAGAAATATCAAAGAATAATATTCCAGATATAATTTATCCAAATAACAACTCAATTGAAGTAAAACCAGGTAAGTAATTACTTCATTTGAAAAAGAAACTGTTTTTAATAGTCCTAGGCAAACTCTACAATGTTATGATTATTCACCCACTATAATTATCTGTGGTTTGCAGGTTCCAGATTTGACCTGGTATGTAATGTCTCAGCAGATCCTCTGGATAAAATGGTAATTGTAACCTGGAAGTTCAATAATGAGATATTAAACACAGATGAGAAGTATAAGTAAGAACAATATTTTTTCTAGGGGGTTCTGAATTATTACACTTTTACTTAATGCTGTGGGGTTAGATATTTACATAAATATGAAGCAAGCCTCCCTGTGAAATAAATTTATTTAGCTGCAATAGCTTGTTGATTTAGTAATAGTATACCAATGTACAATACTAATAGGAATTCCTAAAATGTACTTCTTAGTGCTTTCCAGACATTTTATAGTAAAATAGAGCTACCTATCTTGAGGATCTGAGTATTTATTCCAGCAGATAACAAGACGTTTTTGTATTTTTAAACCTGTATCTGGCATATTCTTTCAGTTGAAATCTGCATGTGTTCTGTGAATTTCCAGTATTTGTGAAGTTATTTAGTTTTAGGTAATAGGTGCACTGTTGTCACAAGAGTAGATAGTATTAAACAGATATATTTAATTAAAATATTTCTTTTTTCTTCTATTACATTATCCTGATATTCTTATGCTACAGTAAATCTTGGTAACTAGGTGCTGTATGTAAGTGAAACAAAAGCTGAGGCTTTGCTTTAAATATAAATGACAAGATCTAAATTTTTATTTTGAATACATTTAATTTAATTTAAATGTGTTCAAATTAAGATGCTGAGCATGACCCAATTTATATAAATCAATATAATTATCCTTAATTATTTTCTTCTTTTCTTTTTCTGTTTATATTTTCTTCTGGTGTTGTTAGGATTCTTTCTGGAAAACAAATAATAGAAGTTAAGTTAAATATTTCCAAAGTGAAAGACAGAAATTATGGACAATATCTGTGTGAAGTATGGTCTCAACATGCAACACAAGTAGCATATGTAGTGCTAAACTATCCAGGTAACTTTAGGTATAAGTCTATATAGTTATGTATATCTTTTACATACCCAATATAGAGAAAAGGTGCTTTGCTTGTTTATAAAGAAAAACAAACATCCATGAGAATTTTGCTAATCTTTATGTGCTCTGTTATGAAACACATTTTTTTTTCTTTTTGAGGAGGCTGAGATTTCGAACTTTCACATATTAGATCATGCTCTGGGATGGGAGCAGTAGACTTGTACTTATTCTAATCTAGAAACAGTCATTAACCCCAAATGGTAAGGGGGAGTTGCAAACGATAGTCACATAACCACTTAAAATAATGAATTATATTTTATTACATTATGGGTACTGAATTGTATATAAATAAAAAAAATATTGGAAATTCCAATATGTTTGGAAAAATATTGCTGCGGTATTTTCATCCTGTAAAACTCTGCTTAGTTCCATAGTCTAATGGGAAAAAATGTCACTATCTCAAAAAAAAGAAGCAAGTGTTGACACTTGTTCTATCCAGAAATACTTGGGGTAGACTAGGAAAGCTAGGTAAGTCAGAGTTGGATAATGTGGCTAGAGGTTATTGCTAGTGCTTTCCACCAGTGACATTCAGTTGGCTTTCTCAGTGAACCTTCTCTTCTGAAAGAAGAAAATGCCCATGAAAATGCCCAGAGGACAGATTAAATGAAGAAGTTGGCTGCATATGGCTTTTTGAACCAATGCTCCACCCAAGGTCAGATCAATATCAACCTGGAAAGCTTTTTGGAGTTTGATGATATCAGGATTCCCTTCTTATAGAAAGCAATTGATAAAACTACTACTAAAACTGTTTTTATTAAAAATAAACTGAAAGGTTTATTTTGCTATTGACTTTGAAGTGGTATTATGCTTTTGTTATTTTATTTTTGTATCATTTATGAATCTTTTTGAGACTGGCCCATCATTTACAAGAATAAATAACCTTTAAAAGCTATGATGAAAAGTAATGCCAAGCATCATCAGCTTAATCACCTCTTTGGCAATAAAATGTGTTACTTGGATAATCTTCAGACATTAGGACCCCCTTTTCAAAAAGAATGAAATATTTTATGAGAATTTGCTTAGAAAAATGATAGTAAAGTAGAAATTGTATAAATTGCTCATTTTATAAACATCTTATCGCACTTACTAAGAATTTTCTCTTCTCTTCCCCTTCTCTCCTCCCTCTCCCTTCTGTTTTCCTTTTTTTTTTTTTTTGCTAATACAGCTCCAAACATTCAGATTTATGTGATTGGAGGATTGATTTCACCATTACTTATTATAGTAGCATCACTGCTTACTTACAAATTTTTCAAAGTTGACATTATCCTTTGGTACCGGGATTCTTGCCAACCTCTCAGCAAAGGAAGTAAGTTCAGCTTTAGTCATTTGATGCCTTCTGATAAAGAATGAAGGTTTTGATGCTTTCTTTAATAAGCTTACATTGTGGCATTTTTTCCACCATAACCTTTAACTTGAGGTTATGATGAGCGCCATCTGTTAATTAATGATATTAAATAATTAGTTGATCTATTCTGATGTCTTTTTATATTTTAGCTGGATGTATTATTGCCTTAGCTAATAATTCAGGCACATGAAATATAAATTTCTATAATAAATTATTCCTATAAATGTTCTGATTAACACAGAGTTGGCTTTTCCTCTTTCCTTCTAGTTTCAGATGAAAAGGTCTATGATGCATATGTGTTATATCCTCACAATATATCAGGCTATGTATATTTGACAGAAACTTTTGTCTTCAAATTATTACCTGAAATCCTAGAAAAACAGTGTGGCTACAAGCTCTTTATTCTTGGAAGGGATGATGTACCAGGGCAAGGTATGTATCTTTAATATCTGCGCTTAGAATTTTTAAATTGTTCCTTAAAGGGCAATTCTTAAGTAAACGTTTTGAAATGTTGATCTGGTGATAAAGCTTATAGCATTCCTGATTGAGATTTAAAACATGCACTACTTTGAGAACAAACACAGTTCCTTGAGGAATATATGGATAATGATAAAAGGATTCCAGTTATCACAGTTAGAACTTCATATATATTCAAGGATTAGGGCATAATTATTGGTGGAAAATTGAAAATGTGACAAATTGAAAAACAAAAAGGACAAATATAAAAAGTGGAAAAAGGGGCACATAACTAAGACAGAATATCAGCAAATAGCCTGAGCCTGCAAAGATGAAGTGAAGAAAGCTAAGGCTCACAATGAACAAAGGCTTGTGACAAAAGTAAAAAATAATTTTAAAAAGCTTCTTCCAAAATGTTAAAAACAAGAAAAAAGTCAAGGAAACAATTGGTCCATTGGCGGGAGAAAGTGGCAGGAAGATGACAAGCAACAGCGAGAAAGAACTACTTAACTCGTTTTTTGCAACTGTCTTTACACAAAGGGAAAAAACAGTCCAACCTATCAAAAACAGCACCTCAAAAAACAGATTAGGAACACAAGTTAAAATAGGGAAGAAACTGGTAAGTGAGCACCTGTCTACCCTAGACGAGTTCAAATCACCAGGAACAAATGGATTACACCCCAAGGTTCTGAAGGAACTGGCAGATGAGATCTCAGAATCACTGAACTATATCTTTTAAAGATCACTGAAGAACTGCCAGAGGATTGCAAAAGAGCTGATGTAGTTCCCATCTTTAAAAAAGAGGGGAAAAAAATAGTTCCAGGAAACTATAGACCTATCAGCCTGATCTCAATACCAGGGAAGAATTTCTGCTATGAAAGTTCAAACTGATACAATTACTGTCAGTAGGGCAGTGCTGAGATGAGCTACTACAGATATAATTTACAATGTAAAAATATTTAACTCCCAAAATACCTTAGGAAGTTGTTTCCCTGCACAAGCAGCTAGAAACAATGGTAAAATATAGAAGGTATAATTGAGTCCCCTACCATGAACGTACATGTATTTGGAGCATATCAGGGACTGATATGCGGATGGCATATATTATTTGAGTGTAATTGTATGGCATACAGAAAGATCATTATGCTGAACCATATATTTATAAGACAAAAAGCTGATTGGGACCCGTATCTTAGAGCAGCATCTTATAAGTGCAGTTAGAATATAAATGTTACCTATAAACTGGCCTCCTTATTGGATAAAATAATGTAATTCAGAGAAGTATGTATAATACAGATATGAGTGAGGTAAATTTTAAAGATGATAAGGACATGAGTTCAGCTTTTATATTTAATTATTCTGTTAAAGTTTGTCACATTTTTTGTAATGTGATATGGCCTTACAGCTAATTAATAAAGTGTTAGTGTATTATATTGTGTAGCATTCCTGACATCATTAAAAAAGTATTTTGTCCTTAGTACTTCCCTTCTGAAATTCACTTCCTTAGGAATGTCCCTTTCTTTTTATTTACTATTAGCCCCAAGATACAGACCAGACCAAGAAAACAATTCCATATTAAGACTATAAACGTTTATTCAAATTGGCTATGGTAAACAGAAGCTTACAAGTCTCCTTATGGTTTACCTCCTCCCCCTCCTATATTGCTGTGAATTTGGGATATTTCTGTCTGAGATGTTTCACATTCCTCCTTCATGGCTTATTGCTTTGGTATTCTTTATTTGCTTCTCTTCCCCAAGATCATCGCTTCTTTATTCTCCACATTTATATTTTCCCTTTTGGATTTTCAGTTCTTTTATACCCCTTGAATCTAGTGCTGTCTCAGTATCCTGCTGTCATCCTTCTCTTTCTTTTATTGTACTTATTTTTCAATGGCAATATGAGAATCAGTTTCCTATAATAAAATGTTTAAAAGTCTTTATCTGTTGACTCATTCAAAAATCCTTGCAATATCATTTGGCTGGAATTCTATGAAAATTTGAGAGTATGGTTTATCCAGGTGTCTCCTTGATCTGTTCCCTCAAAGTCCTAGTTTGGATTTTGTTTTTTCTATCACTATATCTTCACCTGCTTCAGTTCTTACTGCAATGTATAAACTTCTTTAGAACGAACAGAATGCTTAATATTGGCACTGCTCAATGTATTTTATAGCCATACTGTCACCTCCAGAACATCTTGATTCATCTTGTATTCATGAAAGGGATGGCTTGCCCTCATTGAAGCTGGATTATGAGTTTGTCCTCCATACCTAATGTGGAAGAAGCACCAATGCATATTCATGACTGTAACATTTCTATTTCTATTTCAGGGAAATTTGCAATTCAATGAAATTTGCAGGAAAGTTAGCATCTTTTTTTTTTTAATTTGATTTATATGCCGCCCTTCTCCGAAGACTCAGGGCGGCTTACAATGTGCTCAGCAATAGCCTTCATCCTTTTGTATATTTATACAAAGTCAGCTTTTTGCCCCCACAAACTGGGTCCTCATTTCACCTACCTTAGAAAGGATGGAAGGCTGAGTCAACCTTGAGCCTTGGCGAGATTCGAACCCTGCAGTAATTGCAGGCAGCTGGTCTTAATAAGCTTAATAACAGGGTGCCTTAAATCCCTGTACTACCAAGGCTCTTATAAGCAATGTTTGCCAATCTTGTACTTATCTGCAGTGGTGATTTTCTAGGTAGATTTTCTTTGGACAGAAGGACAATTTGCACATATAACTCTTGTACCATTCTTAAAACTTTAGTTACCCTTGGTTGATTCATACTGGCTAAGCAACCTTCCCATCTTCGATCTGTTGAGGACTTTGCCTAATGCTAGTACAGAAGGCCCAAAGTTGAAAGGAAATATTGATTATGAAACCAACATTGCATTATTTAGAACTGTATATAGCAAAAAAGGAAGTGATAAATGATGTGCAAGAGAAGGATAAAAGAATTAAGGGAGGACACTGGTCTGGCTGTGTCCCTTTCTTTTCCACACTATTGTTTAATTGTTTGAACAATATGCTTGCCTGGACAAAATGTGTCTTAATGTCTCTGGGTGGTTTTGAAAAAGTGTCATTAGAAATGACTAGCCTTTTTTTCCTTGGAGACATCTGCCTTGTCTTTGTATTTGGGTTCTTTGTATGTTCTATCTGCTATGAAACTTTTGGCCAGAAAAGAAGAGAGTTAGATGTGATACATAACTAGCTAATAATGAATTACTCATTTGTCTATGTAACTAGGCTAGACAATAGGACAAATGAAGTTTTTCAGAAGAAGGCAATTGCAAGGCCTTTCCCTGTTGTTACCAAGAAAACTAGGGAGAGGTTTCCATGAAGTCATTAGGAATTGAGATGATTCAATTCAATTCAGTTCACTCTTTAGATTCAAGAAACACTATCCATGTATCTAAAATTAAACAATTTTTATTATCAGTACCTGATTAAAATGTATGCCTTACCGGGCCCATATTGATTCGAGTTTTTTTTTTTTATTCACAGCTGTCATTACTATTGTGGATAAAATGATCAAGCTAAGCAGAAGAGTGATCATTATTTTAATGCCAGATTTATATTGTGGTGGCATGCAGAGTTTATTGTCTGAACAGGAACTTGCAGTCTACAGTGCTCTTATCCAGGAGGAAACCAAAGTTATACTGATTCAGCTAGACAAAATAAAAGACTTCAATAGTATGCCAGAATCCCTCAGATATCTTAAGCAAAAGCATGGCATGCTCACATGGAGGGGAACTTTTAGAGAAACCACTGAAATGGCAACTACAAGGTTTTGGAAGAACGTGAGATACCAGATGCCAGCCAGCCCAAGCCCACTTTCCTCAGACTTGCATTTTTTGCCAATAACTTTTCATTCTTCTCAGATATCAGACGGATGACGTCAAAGCCACACCTGCAGTGTTTACTTGAAATCTATTCCAGTGGATCCTTATAGATGCACAAATATGTCCACCTGCTAGAGATTGTTCCAAGTCTGGGATCAACAGAATCACAATTCAGAACAGTATTTTCTGAAAGATGATTCACCCATAGGCTGTGAAGTGCATGAGCTATTTGGGCAAGTGGCAAAATAATGTGAATGTGGACAAGGAAGAAGTTGAAATTGTTTTTGCATACTATTATTTTACATGCAAAATAAGTGAGTATAAGGAGCTATTCTATAAGAAAACTTTATATGAAAAAGAATTTAAATCTAAACCCCAAGGGTTTGAACAAAATGGTAAATACTGATCTAGCACTGAGGTTTATTATAGCTATCAGCAAGGATTCAATCCTTGTATTTCAAGCTTTTTAAGGGTGAACTCTAGTCCTTCCTTTAACTGATATCTTTCCTAGAATTTCCATTGAAAAACAGCCTGTATGGCTCAAGTTGATGAGATGGGCATATTTCTGTCTTTTGAACAACAGTACTATACAGTACTCTATACAGTACTCCTTTGCTTGTACTGCCTTAATTAAATGGAAGATTCAGGATAGTTGCGAAAAACATTTCGGCATGTACTTACTCTCTATATAGAGTTACTGTATATTCCAAATACACTACATATGGAATCTGGTACAATACATATACTATGGGTATTACTATAGTATCTCCCAAGGAGAAAAATAGAAATGACATATTTAAATAAATTGCCATACCAGGAAGCAAGGGTAAAGCGTGCTTTTTAATTTTAGTTTGACTTTTTAAATTAAACACTTTTGTTACGAAATGAATTATTTTGAATTGAGTGATTTGTCATTAGTTTAGAAACAATTATTATATTTCAAATCATTAAATATATGCAATACAAACATTTCACCTTATTTTCAGAAATTGTATTTTGTAGTAAGGGAGCCCAGATTTAATAATTTGACCAAATATATAGCTATTTTTTGTATACTTTGGGTACAGTTGTACAAATTATTCCTGTACTTGTCATGTCCAATTTTCAGACACTGCCTGGGTAAGTTCCTGCAAGGTTTTTGATGTGTTTGCCATTGCCACAGGTTGAAAGTGACTGGCCCAAGGTTTGCTTTGTGCTTAAGATGGGACTAGAACTCACAATCTCCTGATTTCTAACCTGATGCCTTAACAAATATACAACACTGGCTCGTATATTATTTTTAATCATAAAAACGATAAAAGGGGTCAAAACATGGTTCTGAGGCCTTGTGTAGGGAACTCAAAGGAACATACAGTCATGGGGTAGATTGGTGCCATGGGAGCCTTCCCCTTGCCTTTGTCAACTACTTTATACCAAGAAACACTACTTTACACAACAATATTTTTGCCTGCTTAATTGTTTCTATAATTTTAAATTTTAACATTTAAATATTTATATACTGTTTTGTATTTTGATATGTTATTGACATTGCTCAGAGTCTCTCCTTGCGGAAGATAAGTAGTTTAAAATGTGAAATATAAAAATAAATAAATAAATCTTATAAACCACAAAATAAAGTTATTCCTATGAAATCTTTGTGTCTTTGTTGTGTAATGTGCTGCAACACTCACTTGAGATTTGAGAAAGGCTACTGAAGAATGAAATCAAATGGGAAAGATTTTAAAAAATTAAAACCACTGTATCAAAGGCTTTTGAAAAACTAAGTGGGAAAATACTGACATACAAAAATGTTCATTAATCGTATCTTCTCTACTCATCTGAAAAAACCTACAAGATTTTGGATATAACAGACTGGTCAGCTGCAACCTTTGTCAATGATCAGGGATGTCATTCTCAAGCCCAGGGGCCAGATGTTAGATCGGTCCCGTGGGGCCTCCCTGAAAACAGTGAAGGACCAGCCCGTGGTGCCTCTACCAGTGAAAATGGAGTTCAGGAGGGCCATGTGCTGCCCTCTTGAGCTCCGTATTCGATGGCAGAGTTGTAGGAGACTTGTAGCTGAAAATGGGGTTCGGGAGCCCGCTTTCGCTGAAAGAGCGGTCAGGCCACCACAGGCACCCCTGACACGAGTGATGTCGAGCCCACCACGCCCACCCTGGCCATGACACCCCCCGTCCCAACGTCAAACACAATCCTGATGCGGCCCTCAATGAAATCGACTTTTGACACCTGTGGTCATGATTAATGCTCATCACAATACTTTACTTAAATAAAAGCTATTGCATGCTTTATGTGAACTCGATTCTGAAAATTCTTTGGTTGTAAAGAATGTGGGGGAGATAGGACAGTTTTTCCTGTGATATTGTTAAAGCTGTGGAGTTGTCTTAGAAAATGAACAGAAGTGATCTGGTGTAATCATTTCAGCCTTTTGTATCTTAACCCTCATGAATCACTTTGTCCAAAACCCTGAGTCTAACACTTAGAGCACTTAGATTTACATGCTTCACAGCCCTCTCTAAGGGATGGTTAGAATGCAGTATTGGAGGCTAACTCTGCTGACTGCCAGCAGTTTGATCCTGATGGGCTCAAAGTTAACACAGCCTTCCATCCTTCCAAGGTCAGTAAAATGAGGATCCAGATTGTTGGGGACAATATTCTAACTCTGTAAACCGTTTAAAGAGGGCTATAAACTGAAGTGGTTTATAAGTTTAAGTGCTATTGCTATATTGCAATATTTGGGCAACTGTTTATAATGATTTTACCTTGAGAGAATATCAGAAAAATGTAAAAAAAGCAACTGAAGCAAATCAACAAGAATAATCAGGAACTATAAAATTCACATGGACATTCTAGCAGCCCCTACCTAATCCTGGCAGATCTCCAAAAATTAAGCAGGCTCAACTAACGTTTTGGAAAAAAGTCAGTCAGAAACTGCCTGCATTTATGTAGCTGCCAATAAAATTGAATAATTTAATTGTTAATAGTTTAATAAAAGTTAAGTTTAATTATTCAAATCAAATTGATTCCTGCAAATGTAATTGAAAGCAGAGATGATGTACACAGTGCGTTTGGAAAATTAATTTTTGTAAAACAGCTTGTGACTTGGAAGATTCAGCCATCCGAAACATCAAGCTAGCTTGGTGAAAACAGCCAGGCCAATGTTTAAAAGGGTCTTTGGTTACTTTGTACAAAGAATTTGTATGCAAAACAGACAAATTCCAAGCATATTTCCCATCAGCCACCAAGCACTGGACACACTATCTACAATAACAATGAATGTGTCTATAGAGCTCAGGAAGGTATTTTGGAATCTTGAGAGCATCACAATATGCCATCAATTAATTTTTAGGCAATACCTAGGTTTTTATTCTAGAATTGATTGGCATCCTCCACTTCACCAGGACACACATGCTTTGATCCAAGGCAACAGAATGGCAGCTATCTGAACCTAATGTTGGAAAAATTGATTCAGTCGCTCCTATAGGGCTCCAGAAATTCCCCAGCAGCCTTGCCGAGGCCTTCATTTTCCAGAAGGCCGAAGCACAAACAAATGGATCGCTCTCCCAGATCTGACAACGCAAAGGGGGAAGAAAAGGATCCAATTGAAAGGAAAGGAAGAAGACAGAGCTCGCAAGCCTGAACAGCTCAGTCAAGCAGGGGGGATCCAACAGGAACCCTGCAGAGTACAGCTTAATTGTGAACTTCTGGCTATCCTCCACCTTTATCAACGGATGTGCGGAATAGCTCGCATGGAACGAAACTGCTTACAATATCTCGGAATTATTATATGCGGTATTTAAGCGAATTAGTCCGAAAGCGCTCCTGCGATGTTATCGACGGCGATACTTTCCTCTAAATTCCGCCTTGGATTAAGTGAGGTTTTATCCTCTTCCCCCCTTTTTTTTTTGCGCGCGTAATTTCTACCGCGCGCCAACTGACAGTCTTGCCCAAGTTCGCGAGAAAGGCGAGGCTTCCGAGCGGAGTCGTTTTGCTCGTTCCCGCCAACGCCGCGACTGGCGGGACCTTCCTTGCGGAGGCGGCCCGGGCCTCTGGAAGGAGAAGCCGCGGAAGTTCTTCGACCTTGGATCACGAGGTTGGAACAGCGATTTCTATATGCGCACAATGGCGCAATTTCCCATCGAAGATCTCGGTGCACCATTTCTGGCACGCTTCTTCCGCAACATTAGGTCCTCACGAAAATCCCCCTACCCATCCCACATGTTGAGCAAAACGACCTGTTGCTTTCTTACTGCTATTTTTAGGGGCTCTCAAGTGTCTCGGCTCCGGCATTGAGAGTGAGGCTAAGATTCCTCTTCATTCCTGTCTTTCACTCCCCTCACCCTCCAGCCCGGCTCACTTTCCAGTCCTCTTGATGGATCCTGGACTGGAATTACAGCTTCGAGAGAGAGAGAGAGAGAGAGATAGATAACAGGGTTATCTGTTGCGCCGAAAGGTTTTGACTCATGACATGTCACCGACACATGTCTTATGGCTCATCTCCTGGCGCGTTACAGCCAAGTCGTCACGCAAGTTTAGCCAGTTCTTAGTCAAGCGCTCGCGTTTATACCGCTCGAGGAGCCGCACGAAGTCAGGAAGGTCGGTCCCGATTACCGTTTGGATGGGAGATCACCAGAAGATCACCCAGTGGAAGTCGAGAAAACACCCCAGAAGGAGGCAATGGCAAACTACTTCCCTTGTGTTACCTGAAACTTAGCTAAGTTCCATTTGAGGGAATCCTTATCTCTTTTTCCATCTTCGTGGTGCCATAAGATTGTTCTTGTTCAGGGCAGGTGACTATACTTCGTGTGTCTGAAATACTTGGGGCTGGGAATCGAGGGGTGGTGGGTGGGATCCTTCAAACCATTGTTTATTTAAATTGATAACGCGGTTCATCTCACGTTCTGGCACTGATACGGCATTAAACTCCCCGTCTGCTGCAAACATATTGAGGGCGACTTCAAGAGATACATAGAAGATCGATGGATCGATAGAAGATCGATGGATCTTATCGGATGGATAGACAGGCAGGCAGGCAGACAAACAGACAGACAATAGAGAGATTTTTTTAGCGAAAAGCTTTCTTTTTCCGCAACATTGAATATGTCGGTGCACTTGAGTTCAAGTGCCTTCTTTACCAAGAAGCTGGTGGAACCGGTTTAATAGGCAAAGAAGCAGCTGTTGCGCGATCCCTCGTCTAATGTTCTCTTTCTTTCCTGACGGATGATGGTTTTGAGAGCTTCCTTCCGGAGGGAGAATTTGCCAGCAGAAAATCTGAGGCGTCTGCTTTGCCGAAAAACTCTTTTTTACAGAGATTATGCAAATCAGTCATATTTCCCGCCCAAAATTAAAGAGCGAAAGGCAGTTCACTTACTTTAAAAGTATTACTTGTCATCTTGCATTTCCATATAGAAGTTTTAGATCAAGTTATCTTCACAGGCAGAGCATTTCCGGGGAAAAGAAAAGACTACGGGGTTTTGCCATAAATTGCTACGAATTTTTTTAAACCTATTTAATAGCTTTCTTTTTTCTGAGGTTAGTATATTTTAATATTATTACATCATTTTATCGTTAGCTACCAAACAATAGCATAATAAACTACAGTATTTAAAAAATTGCTATTGTGCTGTATCTATATAAATCCCATTGAACATAATAGAGTTACTTCTGAAACATAGATTTTCTTATACAGTAATGAAATTGTCTATTTTGCCAAAATAATTGCATAATTATTGGTATATTTTAAAATGCATAGGTTTTTATTTAAATAGACTTCATGTTAATTTTTGTTTTTAATTGATATTTGAAGATGGACATAATAGTCATAACAATTCATAACAATTTGTACAATCTTGTAGAAATGTATCCAATTCATTTTGGGAGTATTGCACATTTTACCAGTAGTAGTGTATATTTTAGGAGTACGTGAGATTTGGCATTGTTTATGAACTCTCTGACTAATAACTTTCAGCAAGTAGACAATATTTCAATTTTAAATGAAACTAGACACTAATAAAAGAACACTGGTTTGTTATATTACCTGAACATAAAGTAAGCAACATTTTAGGTAATTACCAGAGACAGTAAATATTTTGAATTGACTTACTTTTGAGCAGATAGTAAAGATATTGGAGTTAGGCAGCTAGTACATTTAAATAAATAAAAATAAGCTGTAACTGTTCTTAATCATCAGTCAAATTATAACAGTAGCTGAATTAAGATTCCATGTACTTTCGTAAGATACAATTTTTCCTAGGAAGATCTTGAGATGGCTGCTTTGGGGACAGATAACTAATGGCTGATTCCAATATTCATTCATGCCATTTCTTTTCATAGATAATGTTTTAGTGTGATGGTTTTTCTTTGGCATGGATTTCATGTTGATAGTTCAACAATAAAGTAGTATATTTAAATTATTTCTATCTTTTTCTAGTTAATAGCAAGATACTGTTAGAAAGTATTTTTTTGTAAATTAATTTTTACTAATACACTAAAATTAATTTTAAACTAATTAATTTTAAATTAATTTTTACTAATACACTAAAACATGTGCGTGTGCACATCCATTGATAGACAATATATTTACTATTGGCAATGTTTATTCTGATTTTTAAATTTGAAAAGGGTTGTCTTTTTTTCTTCCTATATTTTAGTTCTGTTTAATTTTATTTCTCATGTATTAGTGGTCTTTAATTTGCATCACTTTTTGTTTATCTTTTTTTATTTCTCTTTGTTTATTTTTTGTAATCTTGAATATATTCAATAAATGGAGAAAAAATAGTAAAAAAAAAAACCTTTACGTTGCCTGACAAAGTAAATTATCCAGAGATGTTTTATTTAATTCTGTTTTATTGTACAGTACTATACTGGCATTTTTGGGGGATGTGTGTATGTGTGGGAGGACTGGAAGGAAAAAGGAAGAAACAGTAAGGTTTCTTGTAAATGGTAAGAATTGAAAGCAGAAAAGTATCAAATATTTACAGTTTGAATGTATTGAGTCTTGCTTTTTTTTCTTTTTGTGCAGTAAAGCATGAAACCTGCTTTAGCTGATTACTGTATTCTAGTCCTCTCTTTTATCTGTGTACTCAGATCAGGTGAGTTCCTTGTAAACAGCTTTTTCAAATACTCAGAGTTTTTTTAAAAAAGGAACAATTGTATTTATGATAATTACCCTGGTTATTAGATGTAAGCTTTTACTTTTCTTTTAAAATTCAGTAGACAATTTTTCTGTGCAAATGGACAAAACTATTTGTGTTTCATAAAAACATTGTGGAATGCATGCTTACCTAGTTTTAATTAGATTTAAATTAAGGAATGATGATCTGAATTACAGACTCTGGTAAGTGTAAAGTGAGCTATGCTATTTTTGTAAGTAGGGGTTTATTAAAGAGTTTATCTCAGTGTTTCTCAAACATGACAGTTAATAATACATAAACTCCTAAAATCCCCCAGCCAGGGTGATAATTGAATTCCACACATTTTACAGTTGCCAAGCTTGAGAAACACAGATCTAGCTAATAGAATCAATTCCAAAGTGGATTTCTGAGGTGCTATTTCATGAAAAGAAAGGTAACTTTAGATTTGTGTTTAGACCCCTATTGCAGTTAGCTTTGTAATACTGATTTTATCTTTTCTTTTTGCGCAGTTCTAATTTATACCATGGTCCATAAAGGAGTCATAATAGTGAACTAAATCTTTCAGTGCAGAGGTTTCAATGTGGTTTTGTGGCAGGATTATGATTATGATAACAGGTAGTGCTTGATTTACGACCGCAATTGAGTAAATTTCTGTTAAGTGACACATTTCTTTCTTCTTTTTTTTGTATATAACTTTTTATTATTTTTTATAAAAACAAACAAACATTTAGTACATCTGTCGCCCCCGCCTGTGACATCTTGGTGTTATCTTCGGTCATTCTTCTTCTTCTTCTTCTTCTTCCAAAAAAGGAACTTTCTTCTATCTTGATCTTTATACATACCATTTTAATATCTCCTTACTAAAACAAAATTCTGCCTATCAAATTTTTAAATATAATCATAAAGCTTTCATCTTTTATATATCTTTTCCAACCAATAATAGAAACAGTTCCATATTCTATAATACTCTATCTCTTCCCTATCTTTAATCCTTAAAATCAATCTATTCATTTCTGCACAGTCCATAATTTTTGTGGCAGGATTATGATTATGATTACAGGTAGAGCTTGACTTACAACCGCAATTGAGCTCAACATTTCTGTTAAGTGACACATTTCTTAAATGAGTTTTGCTTTATTTTATGACCTTTCTTGCCACAGTTGTTAAGTGAATCATTGCAGTTGTTAAGTTAGTAACGTGGCTGTTAAGTGAATCTGGCTTCCCCATTGATTTTGCTTGTCAGAAGGCCACAAAAGGTGATCACACGACCCTGGGACACTGCAAATGTCATAAATATGAGCCAATTGCCAAGCATCTGAATTTTGATTGCATGACCATGGAGATGCTGCAATGACTGTAGATGTGAAAAATGGTTCTAAGTTGCTTTTTTCTATGCCGTTTGAACAGTCACTAAATGAACTGCTGTAAGTCGAGAACTACTTGTATAAGCACATTCATTGTAGCACTTTTTTCCATATCTGAGATATTGAAGTGCTTATTAAGTTTTTTGAGGTAAATGGAAAAGCTTAATGACACTGGCATGGATTCCAGGCAAATTAAATTGAGGAAGTTTGCTTTTGTAAATGCTCTGATCTTTTCTTCTCTGAAAGCTGAGTAATCCCTGCTGCTCCAGTATCCTAAATGTTGGGCAAGCAAAGGTGACTGTGTAGATAAGGGGATAAGAAAGTTTTCCTCATTTCTTAATTTATGTTGCAAGCTATAAATGATGGAAACTGCAAGCTGCAGACATAAACAAAATAAGATGAAGATTGCAGTCCTGTCGAAAGCTCTCTGAGAATAAGCGCCATTGAATGAAATGTGATTTGCTTATGAGTAGCCATAGCTAAACTTGCATGTCAATATTATGCAAAACACAGTACTACAAAAGCATTCCCCAAAAAGTATCTGCAAAGTAAAGTCTTGGAACATTAAGTATGAGTTTGTTTAGCTCAAGGGCTGCAACAGTCTTACAAAATGTGCTTAGGATGTTCCCCCAAATTGACCATAGCCACAAATCCAAATTGGGTGGATGTTGATAGAGAGTGTCTTCATCCCTGACAGAGTGTTTTTTTCTTAACAATGGACTTATTGTTGGAATGTATAGTTTAAAACACAAAGATTTTCTCCCCTTCATGTAGAGAAATGTGTCCAGGAATATATTGGAAGGCAGATGGTGTTTGAAGAAAACAATCCTTTAAGGCTTGACTGCTCAATTCAACACTATGAACGTGCAAACTTTACCCTGAACTGGTACATGAATGGAAATGACACGCCTTTAGTTACACAACTTTTTCCAAGAGTATTCCAAGAGAAAACCAGCCTCTGGTTTATCCCTGCAATAGGTCAAGATTCAGGATTGTATCACTGTATTATAAGGTAAGGAAGTGCATTTATTGATTCCGTGGGTGGAGGGGGTAGCTGTATTTTACATCATTGGGAATTTAAATTGTAGTTGGGATTATCTAAGTTTATCAAAATCTATATCAAAGTAGATACCAGGCTTTTTCTGCAGAAGTGCCACTTTACATCCGGCAAGGCTTTCTCAGAGCAAGAGTTGAGAAGTGGGTATCACTTTGTAGCATTTATAATTGTGTGGAATTTGAATTTTGTGGGATTGGTTCATGATTGAAGGCTTCTTGGGTATTATTAGTTAACCGGTGATTGGAAATGGTGCCAGCTGTATTTTAACTGGTCTGTCTTAATCTGCAGTGTATGGTTTGAATCAGGTATTTGACTGTGTTGTAGATCATAACTAATTCTATCAATCTGCTGATGGTTCTTTTATTAGAGCACCAAAATTATGGAAATAATTGATTACATAAACCACAGAAAATCCATAGCTTTCCTGTAGGTGAAGCTGTTTTTCTGTAGGATTTTTATTTCAGCAGTCCCAGCTTTTTCTAGAGATCAATGATATTTCATATCATTTTATTGTTGGATATAAAGCCCTCAGGATTGTTGACAGCAGTTTATACAGGGGACAGAAGTTATATGGTGCTTCATATTACTTTACTGTTAAGCGGTTTTCAGGGTCAGCATATTCCCTCCAACAGTCTGGGTCCTCATTTTACTGACCTTGGAAGGATGGAAGGCTGAGACAACCTTAAGGCTGACAGGATTGAACTGCTGGCAGAATTAGCCTGCATTACTGCATTCTAACCACTGTACCACTATGACTGTTAGTTTATTGAGAATCTGAAATACATCTTTGTCGGATGTTTCTTTCTTGATGGAAGTGTGTTGTGCACTAGCACAGAGGTACTATAATGTCAAACTGAGAAGTTTTTGAGAGATGATATTTGGGATAACAATGCTGTGTTCCATGCTACCATCAAACCTACTTTAAAATTGCATGACCACAATTCTAAATCTATGCTGCTTTTGACGAAATAAATTTCCATTGGAACTTCTTGAAAAAAAAAAAAAAAAACCACAGCATTCTTAGTTCTTGTTAGAGATTGATATGTTTTGTGCATGGGAACTTGAGAAGTGGAAGGAAGTGACCCAGAAATACCAGTTTATTAGGCAACTGCAAACAAAGTTAAAGACAAAGAGGGAGTAAATCCTTAACTTTCTTTTTACATTCTACTTCCCTCTTGTGGTCCGTAGCTGATGAGATGGGAAGAATCAATGCCTTGACATTCATACTCCCAAGAATCTTCAGATATAGCTGAGATTCTTGAGTAATACTATTTAATACAGATAATCCTCAATTTATAACCACAATTGAGACAAAAAATTCCATTGCTAAGCAAGACAGTTGTTAAGTGAGTTTTGCCCTATTTTATGACTTTTTTCCATAGTTGGAAAATCACTGCAAATAAATGAATCATACTGTCATTAAGCGAATCTGGCTTCATCTGGCTTCATCCATTGACTTTGCTTGTTGGAAGCCAGCTGGGAAGGTTACAAATGGAGGTCCCTTGACCCTTGGACAGTGCAACTATCATAAATATATGCCAGTTGCCAAGTATCCAAATTTTGGTCATGTGACTATGGGGATGCTCCAATGGTTGTAAGTGTGAAAAACAGTCACAAGTCACTTTCTGCAGTGTTGTTATAAGTTTGAATGATTACTAAACAAAAGGTTGTAAATTGAGGACTACCTATATGCCTGTATGTCTACTGTAGAAGACATACTAGGAACAAAATGAGCCTCACATATAAGCTCTTTCTGTTAAGTAATACAGTGGAGCTGATAACATATTCGAATCTCGATAATACAGAGAATACTCTGTCACCACCATTACAGGGTGATTCCTTCCTTCCTTCCTTCCTTCCTTCCTTCCTTCCTTCCTTCCTTCCTTCCTTCCTTCCTTCCTTCCTTCCTTCCTTCCTTCCTTCCTTCCTTCCTTCCTTTCTTTCATCAAATTTGTATAGCCACTCATCTCTCACAACTCTGGGCAGCATTAAATAATTGAACAACAACACATATAAAAGCGAGGAATATAAAACAAATATCAATTGATTATATAACCAAATCTACAGAGATTTCCAGAATGTCAAAAGGGATGCAGCTAATCTAATTTTTTTTAGGTGGGGGTGGAGAGATTGTTCCGTTAAGTGGGCACCATGGCATTTACTGGGTTGTGCTCTTACTTGATTATAGCCAGTTCCAGAGCAGAACTAGCCATTATTAGCACTGAGGGTTATATTCTGTTTTAACATCCAAATCTGCTGCTGCAGCCTTCTAATAGCTTTCCAATATTTCAGGGAAGTTGAAATGACTATTGTTCGTTGAAAAAAGGGGACTCATCTTGTAAATGAGGAATTTAAGCTTAAAGACAACAGGAAAAGGACTACACCTCTGTCCCCTGAATCAGAAGATCCTCAGACCATAGATAAACTTTCATTCTCAGGCAAAAATAAGCAAGCTATACCTAAAGAATGAACTTTAAAGATAATGCAAGATTCAAGCATAGTCCATGCCTATGTTGGCATAGGCAGTATGCCAACTCAAATAATGTTCCTTATTAAAAGTACTAGTATGAATCAGGGAAGATGGTTCATTAAAAAAATACACCTTACATTTTCATCTTATATACATCTTATACAGTCCATTTGCCTCTGCCTCTATCCATGGCTAAGGTAGTGAATTTGGTAGTGGATGGACTTAAAGTAATTTTGTTTAAAATTTACATTCTTCCTCAACAATGAGTATTTTTTTCCAATAGCGTTTGAGATAATGTTTTTATCTATTTGCTTACATTGTTTGTTATATTTAAAGTCTCCCCAATTCCAGAGCAACTTGGCACAGCTTATGTTTTAAAGGACTAACAATAACAATGGAAAGAAAAAAAACATGTATATTTTGCATCTATTTTTATAGAAATTGATCTAAATGGTGAATGATTTTAACCTCGAACTTGGACTAAGGGATGATTTACTGGTTGCCCAGTTTAATACTTTTGGATGTGGTGGCAATAATGTATAAGAAAATAAAATATAAAGTTTTGGTAAAATGTTCTGCAGAAAATAGAATTGGACTGAAGAAAAAAAAATATTTTTAACATTTTAATGTTTAGTTATAGGAATTCAACAAAATGTTATAAGTACAGCGTCCCAATTGCAGTTCTCAATAACAGCGCTGGTCGTTGTTTTAACGAACAATACTACCTTAAGCAAACCTTGTTTCCAAGAGGACCATCCCCGATTGTGTGTCATCAAGTGAATATGTTTGGACAGAAAGTAGATTATCCTTCCATCCATTGGTATAAGGTACAGATCTTTTAAAATTCTCCCTTCTGTGTTTTTTTTAGTGGGTTTTAAGTGAAGGTTAGCAGTTATGAGAGCCTGTATCTTGCTTTCCCTTTGTAATATTAGCACAGTGGTAGGGGAGAAACTTTGAAGAAGCAGGTGAAATTATGATTCATTGCCCACTGAACTTAGAAACTAATTCCTTGAATTGCCTCTGCTGTGATTTCTCAAGGTCTGTGGACCACTTATATTCTGTATAATCTAGCTCAAAGAGTTGCTAGGAAGAAACCTAAAAACAAAAGTTCTCCAGAAACACAAACATTGAGAATAATGAAAAAAGAAAAAAATGAAAATTACATGCCTCTTTTAAACAAAGAGGCATGTAATTTTCATTTTTTCTTTTTTATAATCAATGTGTTGATACATCTATAGAATAAAGACTCACGAATTCAGTGGTGATTACATGAAGAATACAACCTTCTCTGAGATATTCTTTCAATTGTCCACAATATCCTAGACACATACACATACACAAACACACTCACACATACACACAGAGCATAAAACAGATTTATAAATGTATGCAAATGTAAAAAATAATAAATGTATGCAAATGTAATAAATAATAAATAAATATTTATTACATAAATAACATATAAAATTCTCAGATATATGTTAAAACAAAACACTACATACTCTAGCAGTCTAAAAAGTCCCAAGTAAAGAATTTTAAGCCCTTTGCTAAGCTTTAAAAAAGAATATACTAGCTTCAAAACTGGTAATAATAATATTTCGTAGTATGTATGATTCCTATCACAAAAGGGGCCACATTTGCTACATATCTATTATTCAATGTGCTTCAAGTGGAATGTTAAATAGGACCAGTAAAATGAATATTATGGACCTAAGAGTGTGAAAAGGGCTATAGAGCAATAGGGCAGGATGCCAGGTAATTTGGGCCTATGTCATATATTAGTAACAGGGATGTAACAAACACACACACACACACGCACACACACACCTTTTTACTTGGGATGGCCCCATACAGCAAAAAACCTTGCACTGAGCTCAGAATGCAATTAATATTGTTGTTTCAACATAAAGGTCTTCCAGTACCACTTGTTACCTTTGCTGCTGCATTCTTGACCAGCTGCCATTTCTGACTACCTTCTGTGGTTGACTTACTAATAACAGATTTTAGAAACCAGATCTTGAGGTTATTAGCACATATATCACTGAAAGCAAGTTTCCTGCTCTAGGTAGAGAGACACAATCACTTAATCATCAAAAGCTAGTGAAAGGTCCCACTTGCCACTGTTCTTATCTGGATGTCTAGTAACCCAAACTGTGAACTAATATCTTTTTACAAAAAGTAGTTGAGTATATGTATGTGGAGATACGTATACACAGATTAATCAAATTTACATACTGATAAGTACCTTATGTGTGATTGGCAGGTCTATTGAAGTTTGTTACAATTTAAGAACCATTTTCTTCCCCTTTTTGTCATTGAAATGTTTTACTTTGTTATTTTTAGGAATGTGAGCCAATACAAGGAGAACGATTTGAGTTGTTTACAAACCATCTTATTTTCAAAGATGTGAAAAAAGATGATGAGGGAAAATATGTATGCAAAGGAACCTATACTTTTAGGGGAAATAAATACAATTTTTCAAATAGTATTTTAATGAATGTATTAGGTAAGTAATTGTGTTATCAGCAGAATGATAATTTGCTTCTATATTATCTGGGCAATGAATGTTTTCCATTCTTTTTTCTGTCTGCTTACTTATATTTATTTTATCATATTTCAAAAGAGATTTAATGCAGTTTTCAAAATGATGATGTTATATATTAATCTATCTAGCAATTGAGACATGTTGTGCCACTATTATACACATAATCTCAAACAACATTTAATATTCCAAATGTCCTTTTAATCAGTGTTAGTGTATATAATGCATGCAATTGCAGGATAGAATTCAAAATTAAATATGGTTTACAACAGATTAATCCTTTTTTATTCCAATTAAAAGTATTAGAAGTTCAATTGCCGTGCCCTCATGAAGGTTCTTTAAATAAAAACTAGTTGGTTCCTTTTATAATCTTTGAGCTAATAATGTATTTAGGTAAGTCAAGCTTTATCTTAGGTGTTTGCTGCTGTTGCTAATTGGGATTGACAACAATTAGGCATCTTGGATTATTGTTTGGTTTTAATTTTTGTATGCCACCCAACATTGACATTTGAGATGGGTGACCATGTAATTGTATCTGTATTTGTATTTGTATTTGTATCTGTATCTGTATCTGTATCAGTATCTATATCTGTATCTCTATCTCTATCTCTATCTCTATCTCTATCTCTATCTGTTTGTCTGTCTCTCTGTCTCTGTCTCTGTCTCTCTCTCTCTCTCTCTCATCATCTATCTATCCACACACACAGTGTATACACACACACACACGGTTTTTACAGTCTCTCCATTTGTTGTAAAACCTATGCTCTTGCACTGAAAAATAGGAAAAAACTGATTTCTTTAATGCCTTAGAGATGGTAGTTTAGGGGCCAGCACTGTTATTCATTTAAATATTGGAAATAACAGTACTGACTCTTCTATCAGTCTCCCCTTCATTAGGTTGTAGCAGAGGGAAAGAAAGTAGTGATGGCTGTTAAATCATCCTTGTTAAAAGACAAAATCCACCATGATATTCCTCTCCCTGAATTGCATCCAAGCTGTTCACATATCAAAATGATTCACAAAAATTGCTTTAGGTTATAGGCATCTCTTCCTAACCATAGTGACACCAATGTGACATTAGGGTGGCACAATGCCCTTTTCACAATTTCCTACTTTCGTTGTGCAAGTTCAATAGGGAAGAGGCAGAGTTTGCATTGCTATGTTTCTTTTGTCACCTGCTCCATCGTGTTGCCATTAGTTTGGAGCTCACACAAGCACAATATCTTTTTGCTAGTCAATAAAGTAGTTCCTCTTTTTAAAAATTTCTTCACAAGAATTGCAGGGAAGCTTTTTTAAATAATTTTTTTAAAATTTTTATTTTAATACAAATAATCCATCTTCCATTAAATAGTGTGTCATCTGGTACCAATATTTGTTCAATAAGTTAAAATTTACAATCATATTCATTATTTAATACAATCTTAACTTAATACCAATACATTAAATATCTAATACTTTACATCCTCTTCTTAATTTGCTTAACTCTATTAACTATTTTCTATATTTACTCATCTACTTTTATTTCTAATTTTTATATTTGTCCTCTAACCATCGATAAAATGTTCCCCATATTGCATAATAACCAGTTTGTTCTTTCTCTTTAATTGCCAGTGTTAATCTATTCATTTCTGCACATTCTAATATTTTCCTTATCATATTCTCCTCTGTAGGAATCTCTTCACTTTTCCAATTTTGTGCAAATACAATTCTAGCTGCAGTTATTACAATGAATAATCAAATATACATTTTCTTTACTATGGGAGTATTCCCAACAGAAATATTTCAGGTTTCAAATCAATATGTTGTTGTATCATCTTTTCCAACCACGTACATATTTTTATTCAATATTTCTTAGCTTCTACACATGTCCACCACATATGATAATATGAGCCAGGTGTCTGATGACATTTCCAATATTTAGCTGATTTATCTTTAAACATCTTCGCCAATCTTGCTGGTGACAAATGCCATCTGTAAAACATCTTATACAAATTATCTTTATACGCAGTTGACATCGTTAGTTTGTAATTTCTATCTCATAATTGCTGCCATTTTGCTAGTTCTATCGTATAGTCAATTGTTTCCTTTACTTTCTTCTTCTAATTTAACACTCAGAAAATAGCAATGTAGTTTTTTTATCATCCTCTCTTCTGTTCCTGTTAGTATCTTATCTAATTCTGTCAACTCCATATAAAAACTATATAATTTGGCATCTTTTTCATGCCTAGATTGTATTTGCAGGCATGTATACCAAGCCATGTCGATCCCCTGTTTTTCTAATTTATGCTTGCTTTTGAGCTCCCACATTTCAGTCAAAGTATCTTTATATCTATTTCCCATGTTAACAATATTTGGGTGTATTAGTGCTTCCATCGTCGAAAACCAGACTGGTATCTTTAAATATTGTTGTTCTCTAACCTTCTCCCATACTAACAATAAGGCATTTCTTATATAATGTCTGTGAAAGTAACCATGTATCTTATTCTTCCCATACCATAAAAAGGCATGCCATCCTAATTGCAAATCATGTCCCTCCAGTGTCAATAATCTTGTATTTCTCAGTACAATCCATTCTTTCATCCATGTTAACACCACTGCCTAGTAATATAATTCCCATTTTGGTAATCTAAAACCTCCTCAACTTCTTGCATCCTATAGCATTTTTAAATTAATTCTTGCTTTTTCCCCCTGCCAAATATATTTTTTTATTTTATTTAGGTCTTCAAAATATTTTTTCTCCAATCTTATTGGAATTGTTTGAAATAAGTATAATAACCTTGGTAATACATTCATCTTGATTGTAGCTATTCTTTCTATTAATGACAATTCCAAGCCTTTCCAATTTTCCAAATCTGTCTTAATTTGTTGTATCAATTTATAGTAATTATCTTCCTTAATCGTTACACATCTCATTGTTAATTGAATCCCTAAATATTTCACTTTTTTTGTGAATATCTAATCTCTTCATTAGCTCTTTTTTTTGTTTTTCTGTAATATTCTTCACTAAAATCTTAGTCTTTTCTTTATTTATTTTCAGTCCTGCCATTTCACCATACACTTCTATTCTCTTTAACAGTTTTAGCTCTGTTTCTTGCGGATCTTCTAAAATAAAAACCAAGTTGTTTGCAAACACTTGTAATTTATATTCTTCCTTTTTTATTTCCATACCTCTTATCTCCTTGCCCTGTTTAATGTTTCTGTTTAATACTTCTAACGTCAATACAAATAATAATGGGGACAGAGGACATCCCTGTCTTGTGCCTTCATTATTCTAACCTTTTCCGTCATGTCACCATTTATTATTACTTTTGCAGTTTGTTTATAGTATATTGTCTTAATCATCTAAATAAATCTCTCCCCCAAATCCATAACTTTTAATTGCGTCAGCATAAACTGCCAGTTCACATTATCAACCGCCTTCTGTGCATCAAAAAATCAATGCTATTTGCTTCTCTGGATGTGCTTCATAGTATTCCAGTGTATTTAAAATTACCCTTATATTATTTTTAATTTGTCTCTGACAAATTAAAAAACAATTTTGGTCTGTATATATAAATTGATTCAAGAATCTCTTTAGTCTTTCTACTATTATTGGAATACGAAAACATATGCATTGTAGGAGACTTTAATGCAATTGTAGATGTGGACTCGAACTATAAATCTAGTAAAATAAACAAAAAAGCAAGGAAAAGACCCAAGAACCTTTTTTAAAATGGTGGAAGAATTAGGTATTCAAGATGCTTGGCGAGGAGCATACCCCAAGAAAACTTAATATACTGTACATTTTATTCAAACAGACATTTATCCTGGTCCAGAATAGACATGGTGTGGCTGTCAACTGAGCTAATAGCTAATATGCAAGAAAGAAATATTCAGACAAATATCTGGGCAGATCACAACCCAATAAAAGTTATATGGAAGGGACAGAAAAAGAAGTCAAGATGGACAATGAATCAAACAATATTGAAAGAAAAAGAATATATACAATTTGTGGAAAGAGAAATGGACTTCTTCAAAGAGAATAGAAAAGAAGAAACATCATTACAGAATGTATGGGATACAGCAAAGGCATATATTAGATTCTTTCAATTATGATTCTTGATGAATGTATCTTTTCTTTTATGTACTCCGAAAGCATATGCACCAAGACAAATTCCTTGTGTATCCAATCACACTTGGCCAATAAAGAATTTTATTCTATTCTAGAGGATTAACAATAAGATATGTGGGAAAGAGAAACAAAAATGAGCCAAGTGTGAAAGAAATTAGAAGAGGAGCATAGGAGGTTAGAGATGGAATTACAAAAAGAGTCACAAAAAAAAAAAGAATATAAAAAATCAAATAGATTTTTTAAAAAATATGAGTTGAATTTAATAGATAAAAAAGATCTAGCACAAAAAGTTAGAAGTTTGAAACAAAACTTTTTTGAAAATGCAAATAAACCAGGAAGATGGCTGGCATATAGACTGAAAAAGGAGAAAGAAAAGAAACTGATTTATCAGTTAACAGATGAGGAAGAGACATTTTACTATCAGAACAATGATAAAAAGAAAATTATTCATGATTACTATGAGAAGTTATATAAGCAAGAGATAATTTCATAAGAAAAAATAAAACAATACTTAGAAAAAGTGAAGTACCCACAGTACCAGAAACAATTAAAATAGCTTTAGAACAGTGGTTCCCAAACTTTTTCAGTCCACTGCCCCCTTGGTACTACAAACTCATCTTCAGTGCCCCCACCCAGGGGTGGGTTCTACTTACTTTACTACCGGTTTGCAGTGGGGCTGCGCACACACGCTCACTTCACTTGCGCATGTACGTGCTCTTCTGCTGACCACCAGCAAGTGGGAGAAAGCAATTTCACAGGGGGATGGAGAGGGCTGTGGGATGAATTTACACCCATTCCCAGACCCCCTTGGGATCAACCTGCAGCCCTCCCCTGCCTCCTCAGGCGGTGGAGCGTGTGTGGGGGGATGCTTTTCAAGAAGTCACAAGGAGGGCTGAGAGCTGGTTTCTGTCCCACAAGTAAGATTTGGTCCAGAACCAACCCCAACATGAAGGTCTTATTTGCTCCTTGTACTCCTTGTCTTTGCATTTTTAACAGGTAATAAATTAAATTTCTGATGTAAAAATAGCTCATAACTCACCTTTCTAGACAGCTATTATCATGTCTAAAAGCAAGATACTCTTCTCCATCTTTTGTCTGGAGTATCATTTAATCTAGAGCCTTTTAATTCCAGAAGTCCAAGTTTAAAGAATGGACTTCTGGAATTAAAGCTCCATTTTTAAGCTAAAACTTAATTCACACCTGTTAGTTTTGCTTGAGCAGTGTGAACAATTGACAGTGTGATCCTCCAAAGGTCTTAAAAATATATCATTGATTTCTTTGGCATTTAAACTAGATAACCAATGTGAAAAAGTTCAACAAGGAAGGACTGGAAAGCCAATTCATACTGAACTGTATTGGGTTTTCTGTTGTTATTTGAATAAAATGAAAAGAAATGAAAAGAAATCAAATAGTGGTACCTAGCGTGGAAAAAGAGATGAAATAATGGGTCATTCTCAACACTTGAATTCTCTACACTTAAAATATGTAGAAATTATTATGGTTAAGTGAGTTTTGCCCCATTTTACGATTTTTCTTGCCATAGTTCAAATCAAAGTTCAAATCAAAGATTTAATAGTTCAAATCAGAAATTTGATAGTTCAAATCAAAGATTTCTGAGACCAAATTTCAGTAGTCACCAATCCCAGTCTTAAAATGAGTTTAGAATGAGTGGGAGTCACTGATAACAATGAACTACTAGCTATTGATAATGAGTCCTGCCTTTCTTTTCCTTCTGTCCAAGTTTTGCAGGTACTTTTTCCAGATATATGTTTTATTCCAAAGTATACAAACCATTATTGTTAGAGAAAAAATGGGTCTTCCAAGCAATTTTAAGAGACACTGTCAGAATGATTCTGCTCTCAGCCCCCCTTGTGGCTCCTTGAAAAGCATCCCCCCAACATATGTAAATGAAAAGAATAAGCTTAAAAATCCTAGCCTTTTAAAATTGAAAATATGGAGAATTGGGAGGATGAATATGAGACATTAAGGGAGATGTTTCAAAAAGTAAGGGAGGCATTTAAGGGAAATAAAGAAGCAGAGAATTGGTTAGCTTGCAAAAAAAAGAAAGAGAAAAGATGAATGAGAAACAAGAGAAACAAGGAAATAATATTGAAAAGGAAATAATTGGAAAAAAAGATAAAGATGATTACACTGGGTTCAATAGTGATAGAATAAAAATGGATATGAGAAAATACATCTCAAATATGAAGAAAAGAAATAAATGGGGTAAGATTGAGAATGAAAAGTAATAGAGTTAAAATTAAAGGAAAAAGGCTGAAGGGGAGATATGAGAACAGGAAAAAGAAGAAGGTAAAGAAATGGGAGAAAGGGAGGAAAACATCAAGAAAGAACTGTGGAGAGACTAAGAAAATGATTACGAGTCAGTGAAAACGTTAATTTGTTAATAAAGAGAAGGATGCTAGTTGTAGAAATTATATGTGAAAATGCTGTTAAATGAAAAATAGAAAATTGTAAAAATTATATTGGAAGAAGCACTAAAAGGAGAGAATAAATTATAAGAATTAATTGAATAAATGGAATATGGAAATTAAATGTAAAACTGAATGAAATTGAAATGCAAAAAAATGATTCAAATGATATACTTGTAAGAAGTAAAGTAAAAATATATAGTTAAAAGTAAAAAGTCTAAGGATTGGAAGATTGTTTGAGTAAAGATTTAAAAGAAAAAATGGAATAAGATGAAATATACTGCTAATAATTAAAAAGTTGAGGGGAAATTTTGAGAAATATACTTGATAAATGAAAGAAAGACCGGGTTGCCTGGACTCCATAGTGGAAAATATAAAATTGAAAATGAATACAGCAATAGAGAGGGATGAAGGAAGGACAAGAGACATGGAAGAAGGAAGGAGAGAGAGAGAAGGAAGAGAAGGGAGGAAGGAAGGGAAGGGAAATTAGAGTAGGAGTGAGGGTAAGAGAGGGAGGAAGAGAGGAGAAGGAGAAAGGAAGGGAAAGTAGGGAGGAGAAGAAGAGGGGGGAAGAGAAAGTAAGAAGGAAAGAAAAGAGAGAGGTGGTAGATTTGATTGCTGTACAATAAAAAAGATGAAATGGAAGAAAGGCAACCCCAAACAAATATAAAGATATTAAGATAAAGAATGAATTGTTAAACTTTAAAGAATAAAAGAGAACAAATAGCAATAAATAGCAATAATTAGAAACACACATACAAACATACAATGTATTTTCTTTGAACAGAGTATTTGGCCGGTTCACAAATTTAAACAGTGTTTAGTCATTTCAATTAAATTTACAATTTCTATATTTCCTTTTTGCCATATTTATTCATCTATTTTTTAAAAAACCAAAATTACCCTTCATCCTCATCTCTAATCTTAATCAAATTCAATTTTTCCCTTCTATTCTATATTATACCCCTTCCCATTGTCATCTATTTTTATATCCATCCTCACATTGGTTAATTATGTAATATTACAGTTGTTTAATACAAATTCAACATTTTAATATAAATCAATTAGTTATATATATCTTTTTTGTATATTAATCAATATGAACATGAATATTCCAATTATTTCCATACAATCCAATTTCTTACAAATCAATTAATTATATTTACCAATAATAATAAACCAAATAATTTCCCCCATATATTCCTCCAAACCACAACTTAACCATTTCTGCTTTCAACACAATATACAATTAATAGTATCTCAATTATTACAATTCCCTAGTTAAATAGAGCTTTCCCCTTATGTTACTCATTTTCACATCTTAAACTCTCTCAATAACCCAAATAGTTTTGCCCATATAATCCTCCAAATCACAACTTAATCATTTCTACTTTCCTCACAATATATGATTAAAAATATTTCAATCGTTACAATTTCCCTAATTAAATTTAAAAATGTTCTAGCTGTTATCCAAGCTACAACTTAATCCTTTTTACTTTCACCACCATATTAAATTAAATAAATAAAAATATACCATTAAAGGTGTTATGTATGTAGTTTTGGCAGGAGATTTAAACAACAATGGGTAACTTGTGATTGGTCAGCTGCCCGGCTGGCTGGGTATATAAGGAGGGCTGTTTGCCTGTAACGTTTGCTGAAGTCTCACCCTACATTAAAGAGCTGTTGTCACTACCTTGCTTCTGCCTCCTCAATCGCCCAACTCAACAAAAGGTATTTCAATTGTTACAGTTTATATTTATCCATATTTCTAAAAAAAAATAAATAAAAACTTATCATTGTCTAGATTTCAAAAATACAAAAACAAATATTCCAATTATTTTTCATTTCATTTTTACAATCGTGAGCTATTTATTTCTTACTACTATTCATATTTCAATTCTAAATATGTATAACATCTTTCTCTTTCATTTCTTTTTCTCCCTTCCCATTTTTGCCTTTTTCTTTCTCCTTTTTTTCTTTTGTGTTTTAAAATCTTGAACTCTCCTCTTTTGCCCTAAATTTCCCATTGTTTGCACCTACCTTTTTTGTTGAGGAAAAAGAAGAAAAAGAAATCTGCCTCTGCCTAATTTTCCAATGTTACAGCAAACAGCCAACAGCCTGCTTTACTTTCAGTTTTGTTTTCAGCTTGATTAGCACAAGGAGAAAAAAAAATCTGCTCCAACAATTTAGCTCTTTGCAGCAAGCAGCAGAGCCTGCACAAAACAACTGAGAACAAATCAGCTGAGAATCGGGAGGCCGATCTAATCAACGGGCTAATTAGCCTATGCTAAAGCTGAAAGGAGTTGTTTTTTCTTGCTGTTTGCTTGCAAGGAGGTAACTGCTGCGAGGTACAGGCCAAAGGGTGGAGGCCACCCTCCTTGCCACTTAGCGCCCCCCTGCTGCCCCCTTTTACCTCTAGCACCTCTCTGCCGCCCCCCTAAGGCATCCCACTGCCCCCCAGGGGGAGGTATCACCCACTTTGGGAACCACTGCTTTAGAAGAAAGAATAATGATCATGGAGCTACCAGAAGCAATTCAAAGACAAAAAAATGACAAAATATCAGGTCCGGATAGGTACCAGCAGAGCTTTACAAAACACTACAAGATACTTTAAGTAATTCAATGTTGGAAGTATTCAATGAACTACTGTTAGAGGCGAAAGTACCGAACTCGTGGACAGAAGCAAAAGAAGATACAGATCTGCAACAGATAAAAAACTATAGATCGATATAGTTATTGAATGTGGACTATAAGATATTTGCTTCAATAATAGCAGAAAGACTAAAGAATTGCAGGAAAGTTGTAGGAGGACTGATTTTTTTTAAAAAAAAGCAGCTGTATTTTGGAAATCTGGAAAAAGATGGACTGCTTCAGTAAATGACAGTGAGGTACAGTACTTGCTCAAATTCCAAGTTGTCTTATGAATCATATTCAAACCATTGTAGTCCTAGTATTCATCTGGATAGTATTTAAAATTTAGTTCTGGGGCCTGAATGTCTTTTGCCTTTTCTTCCTTCTCTATTCTTTTTGCTATCTGATTTTTTTTTAAAAAAAAAAAACTTTATTTATTTAAGTAACTGTATGAAAGACCCTGGGATTTTTCTTGGAATAAAAATGCTACAGATATTGAATTCATACATACCAAGCTATCAGTGACTTTATGTACATCTAAGATAATCTTTGTAATGTGTTTTTATATGCTAAAATTAACTTAACAAAACTTTGGCTTAGATAAATGCTTATTATGTGACCTTTGCATATGTATGACATAAAGGCTTATATATATGTTTTTGTGTTCTGTCAGAAGATTTAGCCAGGAAAAGAACTGAAATTTTGTACCCCATAAACCATACTATTGAAGCTGATGTTGGTAAGTTCTTTGCTATTATCTTAATTTAAAAAAAGACAATAAAAAATTTATAAACCTTTTTCATTTTGCACACATTTTAATCTCAATGATGCAATGACATACAGGGTGGGCGAGAAGAAAAAATGACATGCTTTCATTAAGTTACAGATATAAATGTATTTATAAATGTAATTATTTAAAAAAAAACTACTTTTCTATTATCAATTTTTAGGATCCAATGTCTTTACAGAGTGTAATGTATCAAGTTTCAAAGACACACCGATTTCTATATCCTGGAGAGTCAATAATACTCTAGTTGACAATCTATTTGAAGGTAGAATTATAGAAGGATTTCAGTAAGTATGATATATATTTTAATACATAAATTAATCAATCACAAATTGTTTTCCTTTTGTAATAGATTTAATTCTCATACACTAATTAATTGTTGCGAAGACAAATGAACAACTTGGTCTCTTTTGACAAACGAAACAAATGATTAATTATTTTATAATATTTTGTATTATATAGACCATTGAATATTCTGATATATTTATATAATCCCTGTCCCAAAGGTGCTTTTTCAAGAGACGACTGTTTTTCTAGGAAGATGTTTCACTTCTCATCCAAGAAGCTTCTTCAGCTGTGACTGGATGGTGGGGAATGGAAGGATTTATATTCCTTGCAGACAGCTGGTCATTTGCATTCTTTTAGAGAGTGGTTGAGGCCATTTGGAGATTTATCTGTGTCTTCAGGGTCACCTACCAGTAAGTAGTGCAAATGGGCATGAAGCCTTTTTGGAACTGCTGAAAGAAATCCTGTAGTCTGCAATTTTTCTGCAAAGTTCATACTCCCACACCATTCAAGAGTGTTTATCCCAAGGTGCATACTAAATGTCTATGGAGATTCTCATCCAGGTCACGGTTGTCCCAAAGGTACTTTTTGTCAGGTGGCCTCAACGACTCTCTAAAAGAATGCAAATGACCAGCTGTCTGCAAGGAATATAAATCCTTCCATTTCCCATCATCCAATCATGGCTTCTTCAATGAGAAGCCAAATGACTTCTAAGAAAAAAAACAAGAAAGTTGAGTTGTCTCTTGAAAAAGCACTTTTGGGACAACCGTGGCCTAGATGACCGAGACTCTCCATAGACATATATAATCCCTGTTTACTGTATCAGTAATGAAATTCAGAGACAGCTTCTTTGCAATTAACCACGTAAGGCATAAGCAAGTTGAATAGGCACTCTACAGCATAATGCTACATGTTCTTGACATACGTGAAAGAGTGGATGATATAGCTAATCTTTCTGGCATCAAGTGTTAACTTAAGTTGAGATTTTGAACCTGAACCTTTGGGTGAACATGACAGTTCTTTATGGTTTAATTTAAATGTGAACTTCTAATATATTTCGATTTTAATACAGAACAAATATTCCAAAGGAAGGAGCAGAGATTTTTACGGTGTCTCTGAACATTACAAAGTTGAAAAATGAAGATTATGATCAGTACTTTACTTGCCATGCAGGTGAAGTTGCAGCATACATCAAAATACAGCGCCCAAGTATGCCATTTTATGTTTGATTTCTAAATGTGTCTTACTGGGAAGAATGCAAATCTAGAACAGGAAAAAAAAAAGGGAAAAATATAGTTGTAGAAACAATGAAATATTGCTGCAGCATTTCAGCCTTTGAAATACTGAATATAGAAGTGAGAAATAGAATGAAATGGAGACATTATGGGTATGTATTGGAAAGCAAGCCACATAGTTTGCTGTGAAATGTGTTCTGGTATGCACAGAATTTCAGCCATAGGAAATTCTATGTCTATCAGAATTCAAGTTGTACTTGTATTGCTCTGAAAGTTTTAAAATATTTTTCCTATTTTTCATTTAGCCTGTTGCAATTTTACCACATAGAATATAACAAACAACAAAACAGATGCAGGGATAAAAATGGAAAGTTGTCTAAGTTATAGAGTTGCAACAATCATACGTGTAAAAAATGCTCATAAGTGCTGTTGTAACTTTAAACAATCCCTAAATGAACTGTTGTAAGGCAAGGAATAGCTGTAATAAGATCTTAAACGAGCTGTCCTGAACTAATGCCAGTTACTGCCACCCAAAGAGTGGTGGAATATGATAAGAAAGTTCCCTTGTTCTTTTCATAGATGAGATCTTTGGATTTTTTTTATCCTAATATCTTGTACCATCAAAAGCATTAGCAGGGTAGAACGGGGTGACATTTACTCTGTGCAAAACTTTGTTGATTTTGTGTCCAATGTAACTTAAAGCCATATAAATATGTAATAACTTCAAATTTGTGAAAATTGAATCTGGATTAGCCCTTCGATACAAATATATTTCTTGGTTGGCCAACACCACAATTACTTTTCTTAACATACCACACATATGATTTTTATCTAATCTTTGAACTAGAAATCAAGACAATAATATTTCCTGAGGAAAGACGAATTTGGCTCAGTGATTTCTAAGTGCTAATCATTATTCTAACCATTTCATAGAATACTGTATTTAATATGATTATTATTTTTTCTGATTTAGCCAAAAACCGTGCAGCTTTTGTGATATTGATACTACTACTGATTATACCTGTATTAATCTGCATCTTGTTCAAGATTGAAATTGTCCTTTGGTATCGGAAATCATGTCGTCCTTTTTTTCATAAAAAAGGTAACAGATCTGTTTGTATTAAAAGGGAAGAATAATAGTAGTCATATTGATTTATTACATGTCATCATGTCAGTATTGATTCTTAGAGATCATATAGATAGCTTTTCTTCATGAGCCCATCCTGGTCATTTAGGTCTTCCAATAGTGACTCATAATTGCTATACCTGAGTCCATATACCTTGTTGCTGGTTGTTCTCTTCTTCTTTTCATCCTCTTTTTCCAGACTTGGCGCCCTTTCCAGACCTTTGCGTAAAATGACCAAAATAGGGTAATTTGAAGCTGTTCATTTGTACCTCAAATGAAAATTCCTTGGACTGAAAATAACATGCTGACAAATAAATTGGTTATAATTGTGGTTAAACAAGGTCAATAGCCTTAGCTTCTGAAGAGAGGATAGATGACAGACCAAGTTCTAACTTTGGAAATCTTTTTAATGATGATGATGATGATGATGATGATAATCAGTGATTATTGGGCTACTGGGCGTCATACCAAAAAATCTTGGACAGCAGTTAAAAAATCCTCTGCATTGACAGTATTTCCACCTGTCATTTACAAAAGGCCACAATGCTTGGATGCACACCAGTGGCGGGATAGAACATTTTTTACTACCGGTTCTGTGGGCGTGGCTTGGTGGGCATGGCTTGGTGGGCATGGCATGGGAAGGATACTGCAAAATCCCCATTCCCTCCCCACTCTGGGGAAGGTTACTTCAAAATCCCCATTCCCTTCCCACCCCACTAACCTGCTCTGGGAAGGAATCAACCCTCCCCTCTTCATTTCCCCAAATAAAATATTACTCATAGGAAAAGTCTCCTAGAAAAGCAAGGAGAAATCAAGCTGATAACAAAGGAACCTGCATGAGGCTCACCCCACATTCCTGCCAGCTGCGTAAAGGAAACTTTGTAATAAGAAAACAGGTACCAGTGCTTAGAGATAATAGAAAGTGGAAGCCGGAAGTTCGGCTCCATTTACAAGCAGCCATTCACAATGGGAATTGCCCAAACCTTTTTAGAAACACAAAGCCCATGTTGCACAAACCCCAAAACTTCAAAAACATAGAACCATATTAGGATCCCTCCTTTTATCTAGTTTGTTATTCAGCTGATCCAGAAATGAATTACTGAACGTCACTTCGCTTCTGCAAGTAAAAACCTCCTTCCAGCAGCTGTTTCTTGGCTTGTCATTTTAAAGCGAGGGGTGTCTTATTTTTTTCTTCTTCTTTGCCAAGCGATCTCCCGGCTGAAAAGTGAGCCCTGATTTTTTCCTTATAGCCGATCAGCTGGGAGACTGAGAGGCAGTGAATAGATTGGGGGTGGGGCCAGGCAGAGGTTGTATTTACCGGTTCTCCTAACTACTCAAAATTTCCACTACTGGTTCGTGAGAACCGGTCAGAACCGGCTAAATACCACCTCTGATGCACACATATATTAGGTGATACATTATGACATCCTAGGCTAGGAAGAACTCAATACATATGAAGACCAAAACCAGCTGAAGAACTGGTAATTGCGATTTAACATTTTGTATATAACAGTTATTTAAAATGTTATAGGAGTTGCTATTCTTTTTAATTCATTTCTATGTTTTAAAGAAAACACAAGCTCTGAACATTTTATAGATGTATACTGTATGTATACATATGTATACAAATATTTATTCATTTATTCATTCATTCATTTATACGACCCTGTAATCCCTTGCTTTGGAATGGTGTTTATTGGCCGGGTGCCCTTCTTGATGCCTATGCAGAATTTGCAGCAGATATTTTCTCATTGAGCCCTGATAGAGAAACATCTGTTGCTGCCTAGAATTGAACTCTGAACCGAGTGGGATGCAAGCGTCTTTGCCTCTAGGCCTCCACACCACTCACTCTCTTAGCATTATATAAACCAGTGTCTCTCAACCTTGACAACTTTAAGATATTAGACTTCAACTGCCAGGATTTCTCACCTTACACTTGAGAGTCCTGGAAATTGAAGTCCACACGCCTTAAAATTGCCATAATTGAAAACATTGATATAGATCCCCATTTGTTACATTCATTATCATCCGATATAAAACAGACATAGATTGTTCTGGAATCAATCCTAGTTGCAACTGTTTCATGTATTGGGGATGGAGGTTGTTAATACTTTCTGAAGCAATTTTGTCTTATACTGTCAGTTTCAGATGGGAAAATCTATGATGCATATGTGTTATATCCAAAAATCAGCAGTCAAGTTGACTTTGTACTGAAATTACTGCCTGAAGTTCTGGAAAAACAGTGTGGATACAGTCTTTTTATACCTGGCAGGGATGATTTGCCAGGAAAAGGTAAGTGTAACTTTCAGTCTGATGTTGTTTATTTACTATTTATTTTATTTATATATTGAATTTTGAGATTTCCTGTCTCACTCAGAGCATGTATACAAATTGGCAAGTGGCCTATGCACACAATCTGGTGCAATGGATATAATTATTTATGCAGTCCAGAATCTTAAAATCCTCTTCAATTCATGCAGCATTTTATATCATATGAAAACAAAGGCAGATTTTTTTTTAAAAAAAATGGGGATGGTGGGGAGAATGATTAAAGAAGGAACATTTCTGCTACTAAAAAAATTGGTACATTTTATTTTATTTGTTTATATAATTATTAAATAATCATAGTGACATATAAAGTAAGCATATATAAAGCAATAAAACATATGCACATAATAATAAACAGAAAAAGTAGCTCTTGAGATTCTTAACTTCTTTTTTCTTACTTAAGTAACATTAGAAAGTTCTCTACAGTTAAGATCCAAATTTATTCAATTAATATTTGAAAGCAGCATGAAAATGTTAAGTTTACAATCAAATCAGTGCTCTGTTGAAGACAGTATGAGGAATTTAAAAAGCCACTCATTATGATTGCGCCCAAGGAAATTTGCAGCTAAAATCAAGGATATAAATGGGCCAAATATGCATGTATCCAAACAATGCAGGATTGCATAGTTTTATAGTAAAAAGATTGGATAATTTTATTATGTTGCATAAGACTCCACTTTAAAAATGGCTTAAAGATTATATTACAAATCATTTCTCAATTGTAAATTTCATGCTGCTTTCAAATATTAGTTGAATAAAATTGGATCTTAACTGTATGTATGTGTATATATATGTTGTGTGTGTGTATTTATGTTGCTAAACGAGAAAGTTGTTAAGTGAATGTTGCTCCATTTACAACCTGTCTTACTATAGTTGTTAAGTGAATAACTGCAAGTGTTAAGTTGGTAACATGGTTGTTAAATGAATCTGGATTCCCCATTGACTTTGCTTATTAGAAGGTCGGAAAAGGTGATCACATGACCCCAGGACATTGCAGTTGTCATAAATATGAGTCAGTTGCCAAGTGTCTGAATTTTGATCATGTGACCATGAAAATGCTCCAATGGTCATGTGTGAAAAACGGTCATTGGTCACTTTTTTCAGTGCCATTGTAACTTCGAACGGTCACTAAATGAACTGTTGTAAGTCAAGGACATACACACACACAAATACCTATCTTATAGTGCCTACTGTTGAAGTATATGACAAGGAGTGTGAGATGCATTCATTTTTAGAGCACCTAGTTTGGCCTTTATGTAATAACACTTTGAAAGCATTCAGTGATTAATTTCCTGCTTTATTTTTTCAAGAAGGCTATATTTCAAGCCTTCTTAAAGTATTATTATCTTGGATATAGAAATGGTCTTGATTCTAGGCTTTGTTTTTGGCCCATTATTGTGTCATTTAAAATCCATGTGCCTCTAAAACAATGTAGTATGTTTGTGGATATTAACATCTGATGTAATCTTTATCTGTGGTGATTTATAGCCTTAGTCAACGTTGTTGATGAAACCATTACGCAAAGTAGGAGGCTGATTATGATTCTAGTATCTGGGTCGTCCAGCTCAGAAGAAGCTCCTGAGCAGAATATAGCAGTGTATCATGCTCTGATACCTGATGGAATCAAAACTATCCTGATCGAAATGAGTAAGATAAAGGATTACAGCAACATGCCAGAATCCATTAGATACATCAAGCAAAAACAGGGAGCTATCAGATGGAAAGGGGACTTCATGAAGAAAGACTCTTCTTCGGCCAATAGTTCCTTTTGGAAAAAGGTCAGATACCGAATGCCACCGGAACATCAAGGTTCCCAAGAACTAGCTTTGATGCCAGCTCCTTGCAGCGCCTCCCAGATGATAGAAGCATAGTCTTGAGACCATTTCAGAATCCCTCTGGAAGGATGTTTGCATTGAAGCTGATGCAACATGTCCAATATGGTCGATATGGATTCCTAAATTTATATGTCATATTGGAACTTAGTTTCTTTTTTTTAATTTTTTAAAAATTATTTTTATAACATAATATGCAAGACATACAACATTTATATAAATACTCTTTTTATAGTTATTTCTTGATGGTCTTTCTTTGTTATTCACAATTTCTCCTTATTTCTCTTTGTATTATTCCAATTTACTACTTGTCCCCTTCGTTTTATTTACAATATATTTCTCGTCATTCTTAACAATTTCTTAATTTATATGCTTAAACAAATTCTTTCTTTACTTTATAACGTTTCTATCATTTCTCCCTATTTTTCTTCCTCATTTTTCCTTTCTTCCAACCACTTATACCATTTATGCCAAATCATATAATATTCTGTGTCCTCCTTTTCTTTAAGTTCTTTTGAGAATTTACAGTAGTTTCTTTTTTATTCACCAGAGTAAGGTACTCCCATAAACCGAATTGTACAGTATTTTCATTTGCGTTTTTTAAAAAATATAATGTGAAGAAGGATTTTTTGATAAAGAATTCTTGCTTACAAATATGGTATAAATACCCATGACTTACTGGCTAATTTTATACCATCCATTTAGTTTCAGATACCAATCCTGCCTCAATGTATGTTTCCAGGTTCTGTGCAGCAGCATACAAAATTCATCTGACGATAACCTGTGCTATAAACTAGATTTCCTGAGCACCTAGTTTACCATGTTATTAAAGTGCTTTGTTACTTGGTAGATCTAGTTTTCCAAATATTAACCTTTTGTGCTCTCCTGCAACCATGTAATGCTCCTACCCCTTCTTTTAGACACTCATTTTTAAATATGCTTTTTATTGTTTTCACTTTGTAGTATATTGTTTACATTTTCTAGATTTTTTTTAATAAGCATGTTTAGGTTTTTATTTTTGATGTATCCTTTAAGCTTTTTAAATGACGGATTCTGCCCTCCTTATATTGGTCAGCGTCTTCAGTTTGACTTGCTCCATTTTTTAATACAATTTTTGGAGGTTTCTCATTTTCAAGAGAGAAAATACACTTGTGGGAGGTTGCATTTCCACTGGCATCCTATTTTTGAACCTCTGCTCCCCTTAGTGAGAACTAAGTGGTGGATTAGATAAGCCCTTGATACAGTCTTATTTTTTCAGACTCTTTTTGCAGGTATACTAACATAATAGGCTAGGAGGCCTGAAATCTTTTGAATGCCCTGTCATTAATATTCCCTTTTGTTAGGTGTCTAAAGCATTAGAAAGAGGCCCTACACCATTGTGTGACAATGCAAATTATTTCTCTTCAAACCTACAGACAAGTCTTTTTGCAAGGTTCATCCTGTTGCTTTGGAAGATTTTTCCAGCTGCCTCTCCTATGGGCATGCACACTTTGCTTCATGAAGAGATAAAGATAGATAACAGTCAGGGGCAACTTCTGAGAACACTTATACAAGCTGGAAACAGAGGCATTCATCATTTGAAGAGAGTTGCTTTTCTTACACCCCTGTGTTGCATAAAGCATCCCTTTGGGCTGCCTTAACACAGCTGAGGTCACTGTCTGATGTGCAAGATGACTGGGTTATTTTGGATTTATCCTCAACAGCTGCAAAATGCCATTTTGTTTGGAACAGGCCATTTTTATGAGTTCTTCTTATATAACATAAACAGTTGACCATATCAGTATCAACACTGCTTTATAAGCAGTTAGTGTACTTATTCTATAAACATTTAAATTTTTAACACAGCTGAGAGTCTGTTTAGCAGTATATTTGCAACATGCTCTTTTTTTTTGCTTGTAAATATATTCTAATGTTTGTATATTATTTTTATGATGTGAACTGTCCAGAATTGATTAAAACCATGTGGATGCCTAAGTAAAATTAAATAAATAAATACTGTTTCTCCTTCTAGTCACAAATATGTGTATGTGCTTACTATAGATTGACAAATGTGCTCATATTAGGGATAAGCTATACTGCAACCTAATTAATTTGGTATTAATATGTCCTCAAAAATATTTTTTTTCCAAATAAAAATAACAGTAGTGAATTTTTTAAAAATATTTTATTTTAGTGATAGCTCAGATTAGAGATCTACACATTGGTTGTAAATTAAAACATTAGGTTGTAATATCTTTTACATTTGCCAATATATTGGAGTGTAAGAAATTATTAGCAAGAATGAAATAGTTACATGTATGATAAAGTAATGAAGGTATAATAATTTTTATTGTTTAAGCTAAAGATGGTTGCAAAAAATTAAAAAGACTTGATACCATGGCAAACAAAATTATAACAAAGAAGTGCTTAATTGACTCTACAATATTCATGAAAAGATTTCACAAGTCTGTTTATTATATTCAACAATGTACGTAATACATTGCTGATTGAGTATATAAGAAACATCTAATGATGCAAACTATTTATAATTATGGGTGGGGTGTCAGAAAGGCAGCTCTGATCCATAGAGTGTATTGCACAAGTATTATAGAACTGTCTTTTTTATTGCTCAACATTGGATTTCTGTTCTTTGTTCAATGCAAATGCAACATGAATCCTTGTCTCCCTGCCACTTATTTAACCAAATACAATTTTTAAAGAAGGGCTGTGCATTTTTTACAAACTTCATTGAAGGTTTTTGCTAGAGGCATTGAAATATTGCTCTCGTAACCCTAGCTCAATCCTGGAAATCAGAACAGTTGCCAACAGATCAGAAAATAATCCAAAAGATATTTATATGCGCAGAAATGGATAGATTAACTTTAAAATTAAATGATAAGGAAGACTCACAGTATTTCAAAGTATGGGACAGATGGTATGATTGGATTAATAAATGGAAAAAAAAGTAATGTCAAATATAGTAGGAAACCAAAGGTAACAAATACACACCGTCATTAAGATAAAAGAAGCAAAGGTTAATGTATATATTTGCATATTTATATATTATAGACAGGTAATCCTGTTTGTTAGTTTGTTTATAAGTAGTTTTGAATGTATTTTTAGAGTTAAGAACTTTTTGTATAATTTTTATCTTTTTATATTGAATAAAGTTTGTATTTAAATCGGAAAAAAAAAAAAGAAATATTGCTCTCGCACGCTAGAGATTGAGACAAAATGGTAAATAGTAACATGATGGTTATGCAATTTTTCCTGGGAAATGGCACTATAAGGATGATGAGGTATCTGAGTTGGCTCCTATTCCTTTGGCATTTAGTGACTTGCTAAATGCTGTTAACCTTTAAGGTGTAACTGCAAAGATTCACTTTTGTCTTACTTGAAACCAAAAATTAGCCATGTTTTGCCAGTGCTAAAAGACAGTGTTACTGGCACCCTTTTACTATAGCACTGTCTTCTTGACAAACTTAATGCATAGTCTATAAATATATGAGAGAGTAAGGCCAATAGATAAGAATAAAAGCAACCTATATACAGGTGTCTTCTTTAGATTTGCATATCTTAAGCGAATTAGGACTTTTAATGAGAACTTTGGTCCCAATAGCTAGGCTAAAAGGTCTACACCATGGTCTACTTTAGGTAGGGATCAGGGGTGGGCTACTGGGGGGTTCGCAGGGGTTTGGGAGAACCTCTAGCTAAGATTCTGTGAAGTTTGGAAAACCCCCAAATCCCACTCCTGGCTGGCCCTGCCTACTCCAGCCCTCCCAGGAGCCCCACACAATCTGTTTTGGATGGAGGTAAGTGCAGGGCATGCTCAGAGGTTCGGGGAGGGCAAAAACGGGCCTACCGGAAGTTTGGGAAGGGCACAAATGGGCCTGTTTCTGGCCTCCAGAGCCTGGGGAAACCATTTTCGGCCTCCCAGAGGCTCGAGGAAAGCTTCCAGAGCCCAGGGAGGGCAAAAAGACCCTCCCTGCCACGGTGCAGGAGGCCGACTAGGCCACGCCCACCCAGCAACCGGGCAGAGAATCCCTTGCTAAAATTTTTGAAGCCCACCCCTGGTAGGAATGGATGTATTGGTCCAGCTTTCAATATTAAAAGTATCATTATTTACATGAAAAAAAGTATCTTCTAACTCAAGATAACAAAACTTTCTTTCAGGCATTCTGACTGATAACTTGTAGACGGTGCTTTTCACAGATATGTGGAAAGTGGTGCAGAATTTACATATGTCCACAGAAGGCCTTTCTATTTCATATTTAATCTGGTTTTTAGTTCACTCTTTTGGAAGAAACCAAGACTTGATGTAATTTGTCTTGAATTGTTGGTCGTAAGTTAAAATTTTCTCAGCATGGAGGTTACCTTTCTCAGTAGGACTGCATAAACTATATCATTGGAGAACAAGAAAAGAACATATAAATATCTTCAGTCCTATTTAAATGTCTACATGAAGCCTCTAAATGAGATCATCTGTGACCATGGGTTGAAATATCATCAGTATGCTGATGATGCTACATCTCCATGCTCCATGCTTGGTGATCTGAGTGATGTTGTTACTACCCTCTCACAGTGCTCCGAAGCTCTAAGGGCCTGGACGGGGAACAATAGGCTTTTTCTGAACCCTGGCAAAACTGAGTGCACGGAGCCTTGAGATCCAGGTTTTCGTTATCTTTAGTTCTGAATGGGGTTGCATTACCCTGTTCAGATCCAGTTCAGAACTTAGGGGTTCTCCTGTCTCCAGCTCAAAGAGCAGTTGGCAGATGTGGCTAGGAGAGCCTTTGCACAGCTTCCTTTTGTGCACCAGCTATGACCTTTCCTGGCTCTGGATCCCCTGCACTCAGTCACTCAAGACCAAGTCATCCCTCACTTGAACTACAACAATGGGGCAACCCCTGAAATTCATTCAGAAGCTTCGGCTGGTACAAAGTGCGGCAGCGTGAGCAATCTTTGAGGCCCCTAGAATGCTCCATATTATACTTCTGGTCCACAAATTGCACAGGATGCCAGCCTGCTTACAAATGCAGTTTGAGGTGGTTTTGAGGCCTTTAATGGCACGGGTCCAGGCTACCCGATGAACAATCTCATCCCACTGGGGTAAGATCTGCCCCCCCCCCATCCTTCCACAAGAATCTGAATACTTGGCATTGCCAATTGGCCTGGAGACCAATAGGGGAGTACCAAAGTGCAGACCCCACCTCTCCCCTGCATTTCCTGCTTCCCTCCCCACCCATCTTTTAATCTCATATTACTATATTTTCATTGCTTATTTTATTATTTCATTATTGTGTTACTGTTATATTTACATTTCTTTTCATTTCTCTGTTTTTACTGTTTCAAGTAGGGTAGACTATATTTTTACTGTATTGGTTTGAAATGTAGCAAAATTGTAGATTTCATTATATAGAATATGAATGCTTTGTTTGAAAGTTAGGGCTTTAGGATTGCTGTTGTTTTTCCCATTTGTCCCTTTATATTTCTGTTGTACTTTCAGCTCACAGTTCCCACTTTAAAAAGATCCTACTGGTGCAAAATATTCATTGGAATATCTCTGTCTCTTTTTTGGGCCTCAGACTCTGCTAGTGGATGGATCCCGGGGGGCCCAGTTTTAAGATGAAAAGCATGTATGTATAGCCTTGTAGATGCATAAGGCATACCAGGGTATCTGAGCAGTTATCTGGCCCCAATGTTTGGCCCACTGGCTCCAGTGGAAGGGGCCTACTGTGGACCCTGTCAGCCAAGGAATTCTAGCTGGCACAAGCAAAGAGAAGAGCCTAGTCTTCTGTGGCCCTGGCCCGGTGGAATATTCTATCACCCAAAATGAGAACTCCCACCTTTCCAGGCTTCTGGAAGCATATCAAAATCTAGTTTGGCTGGTTGACTTGGGGCCCAGAAGGGAGTGTGCACTGCTGGAAGTGGTTCATTGAGTAAGAAGATCTTATCTCCATGCCATCAATCTCTTTGGTCTAGTTTTTATTTGGTGTTGTAATTGTAATTATATTTTTTTTATTATTTTCATGTTTATCTTTTTATGGTTTGTAAACTGTCCACAGTTGACTTATCAGTTAGAGAGGCAACCCACAAATTTAATAAACAATGACATACCACCACCTAATACTTTTCCCATAATAGTCCTGACAGTTGTTGACATCTGCTTACTAATACAACTCTTGAGCTGACTGCACCCTTTAAGTCTTTGTTACCACATGTTTGTCAGCTGTGGTTTAAGGTCTACAATTTCTATGAATAGGGGGAAAGAACAATGGGTGTTTCTAAGAAAGCAGCAGGAAGTTTCAAGGAGTGTGAAACTGCAGTAACTTTGCATTTTATCATTTGTATATTACATGTGTTTTTATATTATATTCTGATTGCTTCATTCTAATTTCAGAGTAGCATCTATTTGAGCCATATTATTGCACTTGTATAGTTCTGTCTACTGACAGGCAATGACAGTATATCAGAATATACATCAGTAGGCTGATTTTCTTGGTGATCTCAGGTTGATTTTTCTCTCAAATCTCTCACATGTTATTTCCTTATTAAATTTATATGCCACCCAGAGTTGCTAGATTGAGAGATGAGCGGCATATAATTATAATAAATAATAAATTAATAAAATGCTTCCAGCGTTCAGAAGTATTTTTGGAAGATTTTACATAACTTCTAGAAATCTGCAATAATAACAATGCTAATTGATAAAATATAACTACAGAGGATTTCCTGAAAGATCATAGGTTATATATGCCTCATTAGTAGCTTATTTTACCTCCCTACCTGGATAAGCATCCTGACTTTATTCAACTCTTGTGAAAGCTGTGAAATGAAGGTTAAAACATCCACTGAATATATCTATTGACTATTGATCAATCTATTCTATTGACTATTGATCTATCTATTGAGATTTTCAGTCATCCAGGTCCTGGTTGTTCCAACAAGCAAAGGTGCTTGTTCAAAAGGCAATTAGACTTTGCTTTTCCTTGAAGACATTTTGCTTCTCATCCAAGAAGCTTCTTCAGTTCTGTCTGAATGG